AGCACAGACGCACTGGCACCTAGAGCAGCAGCCTCACAAGCACCTAGCGCAGCAGTACCAATGCCCGGGTCGGGCTGGAAACACCGGTAACCCTCATTCTCCTCACTATAATCCACAACATACATAGCAGCAAGGATAGCATCAAAATCAAGATCAAAGATCGCTACACCAGCCCTGAGAAGCTCATCCCAGCGAGGGATCTCACTAGCCCCAGGGAACTGCCGACGCTAGGCGTCCGTCAGGCGGCCAAAGCAGCGCTGGGTGGCGTGGGCACCCCCACACTGCTCACCCGCGCGGTCGCCGGAACGAAGAACGTAGGTGCAGGGACCAGTACCCCCACCCCTCTGACGCCCAGCGTACCACTCACGAAGCTGCTGAGGCGGAGGGATGTCCCGCGAGCGCTGCTGCTGCTGCCGCTGCGAGCGCTGGCCACCACCACCGCCGCTACGCTGCTGGGTACCACCTCGACCAGCTCCACCTCCACCACCACCACCGCCTCCTCCGCTGCCGCCTCCACCGCCTCCACCTCCGCCGCCTCCACCACCGCCGCTGCCTCCACCACCACCGCTGGCACCACCACCACCGTCTCCGCCACTGCTGCCACCACCACCACCACTTCCACCACTAGTCCCGCCGCCACCCCCACTCCCTCCGCCGTCACCGCCGCCACCGCCACCGTCCCCTCCAGCTCCACCCGCGCCCTTGCCCCCCTTGCCCTTGCTGGAGCGACGTCTCCCACTAGGGGAAGACGCTGCGCCGACCGACTCAAGACCAAGCAGGTCGGCAGCAGCAGCAGAGGCAACAGAGGGCAGCAAGGGGGAAGGAGAGCACCCCTCAAAGATGGGGGTGCGAGGGTCACCACGAGAAGCACCTACAGCGACTATGCTCTTCTCCGCTGCGAGGAGGGCCTTCTCGAGGAGGTCGACGGTGAGGGTGGTGGGACAGACTGCGAGAAAGTGGTCCCTGACGACGCGAAGGGAGTCAGGGAGGCGCGCGACTACGTAGTAGAGAGCGATGTACATGGGGGGGGGGTTCTTAGCACAGAACTCAGCAGGAAGGGCGGCGCGGTAGCGAGTGTCACTAGTGCGGAGGTGCGTAATGTGGTCAGCGACAGTGGGAAAGGCAGAGAGGTCAGGAAAGAGGTAGGGAAGCATGAGACGGCTCAGTGCAGCTGTGGCAGGGGAGGAGTAGCGCGCAACTACAGCGTCGTACAAGGTCTGAGCACTCTTGTACTGACTAAAGTGCGCACGCTCAGAGGTAGGGAGGTGGCGACGCACAGCAAGACGTGCAGCAGCATCGCGGGTGGCCCACTTAGAGCGGACAGTGGGATCAGCATCAGCAGCAGGAGCAGGAGAGGCGCCAGAGGTGAGGTCAAAGAGAGAAAGGTCGTCAGCCCTGTCGCACTGTAAGAACAGCTGCAGGTCGTCTAACCAGACCTCAAAATCAATGGCGCGACCCTCAGCGTCAAAAGCTAGGACACTAGGGGTAGCCATGGCGACGACAGCGACGCAGTGCAAGCAGTAGGGAAAGAGCTCGCAGTGTCAGTGGGACTGTGATCACGAGGTAGGGCAGGCCGTGCAGCTATGCAGAAAGGCGGCTCAGCGACCGGGCGGCTCGGGTGCACAGCGGCTCGGCTCCCGGGCGGCTCGGCGGCTGGGCGGCTCGGGCGCAGGGTGGCTCGGCTCCCGGGCGGCTCGGCGGCTGGGCGGCTCGGGTGCAGGGCGGCTCGGCTCCCGGGCGGCTCGGCGGCAGGGCGGCTCGGGTCCCGGGCGGCTCGGCGGCAGGGCGGCTCGGGTCCCGGGCGGCTCGGCTGCTGGGGCGGCTCGGCCGGGAGATGCAGGGGCGGGGCCGTCAGGTGCAGCGGTGGGTCGACCGGTGCAGTGGCGGGCCGGCAGGTGCAGCGGCGGGCCGGCAGGTGCAGCGGCGGGCCGGCAGGTGCAGCGGCGGGCCGGCAGGTTCAGGCGGCGGGCCGTAGGGTGCAGCGGCGGGCCGTACGGTGCAGCGGCGGGCCGGCAGGTGCAGCGGCGAGGCCGTCAGAGGCGGCGGGCCGCTGGGTGCAGCGGCGGGCCGGCAGGTGCAGCGGCGGGCCGGCAGGAGCAGCGGCGGGTCGGCAAGAGCAGCGGCGGGGCCGTCAGATGAGGTGGCGGGCCGGCAGGAGCAGCGGCGGGCCGTAGGGTGCAGCGGCGGGCCGTAGAGTGCAGCGGCGGGGCCGTCAGAGGCGGCGGCGGGGCCGCGGCAGTAGAGGCGGGGCCGCGTCAGGGGAGGCGGCGTGGCCGCGTCAGGGGAGGCGGCGGGGCCGCGTCAAGGGAGGCGGCGGGGCCGCGTCAGGGAAGGCGGCGGAGCCGCGTCAGGGGAGGCGGCGGGGCCGCGTCAGGGGAGGCGGCGGGGCCGTGTCAAGGGAGGCGGCGGGGCCGCGTCAAGGGAGGCGGCGGGGCCGCGTCAAGGGAGGCGGCGGGGCCGCGTCTAGGGAGGCGGCGGGGCCGCGTCAGGGGAGGCGGCGGAGCCGCGTCAGGGGAGGCGGCGGGGCCGCGTCAAGCAGGCGGCGGGGCCGCGATCAGGAGAGGTGGCGGGGCCGCGTCTGAGGGACAGCGGGGCCGCGAGGGAAAAGGCGACCCGAGGGGTCGCTAAAAAAAAAGGGGCGCGCCTCGGGGCGCGCTTCGGTGGGCCCTAAAAAAACGGTCCTAAGGCAGGACCCGCTCTATACCATGTGAAGTAAGGAAAACAGGAATGAATTGACTAAGGAAAGATTGGGTACAAATCCAACCCTAGAAACCTTGTACCCCATATGTGCTACCCCACTATAGCCTACAGCAAATATGTCATATAAATCTGACACCTTCTCTGCCCTGAAAACTGTTCTCTGTTCACCACCCGTCCTACGCATCGCAGACCCACATCGCCCCTTCGAGGTTGTTACAGACGCGAGCGACATCGCCATCGGAGCTGTACTGTTATAGGACTTCGGCAACGGCCTCCAGCCCATCGCCTACGAATCACGCAAACTGCATCAGCCTGAGCGAAATTACCCGATACACGACCGCGAAATGCTCGCGATCGTGCATGCATTCTAAGTGTGGCGCTGCTACTTGACCGGCGCAGACGTGACAGTACGGACAGACCATCGATCCCTACAGTACCTCCGTGCACAGCCCCACCTCAACCCACGACAGATTCGGTGGCTCGACTTCCTCGAGTCGAACTTCCATTATACGGTCACCTATAAAAAAGGAGCCTCCAATATCGCCGACGCACTGACCCGCCCCACTGCCCAGATCCATGCGATACTACTCGCCCAGACCAGTCCGCTACTAACAGGACTATTTACCCACGGATAGCAAACAGACCCATTCTTCACAGGAGGAAACTCGCAGCAATTCGCAGCAGACAAGGGAGTCTATTACGTAAAAGCTGGAATCGACCGCATCTGGGTACCAGGGTACACACTACTACGCGAATTACTGTTACAGGAGGCACACGACGGAGTTACCTCGGGACATTTCGGAGTAGAGAAAACACGCCAGCAGCTGCAGCGTTACTATTACTGGCCTGAAATGTTGACCGACGTGCAACGACACGTGGCATCGTGTCCCACTTGCCAGCTCATGAAGTCAACCAGGAAGCGCCCGGCGGGACAATTACAACCAATCCCACCTCCAGAGCGTGCTTGGCAACAAGTGACGATGAACTTCGTCACGGGGTTACCAGTCGGAGCGAATGGGAATGACGCGATCCTGGTCGTCGTCGATCGACTGACGAAAATGGCACACTTCGCAGCTTGCAAGAAAACAATCACAGCCGAGGAAACAGCCCGACTCTTCATCACCACCGTCGTTCGACTGCACGGGATACCAGCATCGATCATCAGCGACAGAGACACGAAGTTTACCAGCAATTTCTAGCGGAACCTGTGGCAGCAGTTCGGCACGCGACTACAATTCAGTTCATCGTATCACCCCGAAACCGACGGATAGACAGAACGGACAAACCAGACCATGGAGCAGCTCATTAGGGCCACGTGCGACGACCCAAACACGTGGAAGCAGCAGTTGCCACTCATCAAATTCGCATACAACAACGCGCCATCTGCCACGAGCGGTATCGAGCAGGTTCCCCTGTGGGAACTGTGCTTAGGGCCCACCACTACTTCGACTTTTTTTTCTGCCCGGAGCGCGCTCCGGGCTCTCTCTTTCACGCTCGCGCGCCGCCCGTTCCGGCCCTTAGCCGCCCGCGCGCCGCCCTTTGCAGCCCGCGCGCCGCCCTTAGCAGCCCGCGCGCCGCCCTTCGAGCCCGCACGCCGCCCTAGAGCCAGCGCGCCGCCCTACGCAGCCCGCGCGCCACCTTAGAGCCCGCGCGCCGCCCTACACAGCCCGCGCGCCCCTCGCCAGGCCCCAGGCCGCCCGTGCGCCATCTGCGCGCCGCCCGTGCGCCGCCCTCAGCCGCCCGTGAGCCGCCCGCGCGCCGCCCTCAGCCGCTCGTGAGCCGCCCGTGCGCCGCCCTCAGCTGCCCGTGAGCGCGTGTGCCGCCCGTCAGCCGCCTTCAGCCGCCCGTGAGCTGCCCGTGAGCCGCTCATGCGCCGCCCGTGAACCGCCTGTGAGCCGCCCGTGCGCCGCCCGTGAACCGCCTGTGAGCCGCCCGTGCGCCGCCCGTGAGCCGCCCGTGAGCCGCCCGACAGCAGCCTGTGAGCCGCGCGTGAGCCGCCGTTCAGCCGCCTGTGAGCCGCCCGCGAGCCGCCCGTGAGCCGCCCGTCACGACGCCGGAGCCGCCCGTGCCACCCGCGTCACCCGAGCCGCCCGAGCCGCCCGAGCTGCAGAGCCGCTCGGGTCGACAGAGCCGCCTGTGCCGCTGAGCACCCGAGCCGCCCGAGCCACCCGAGCCTCCCGAGGAGCCGAGCCGCTGGTGCTGAGGTGCTGCTGTTGCTGCTGGGCCGGCCGAGCTGCCGTGTTGGCTGTGCTGCTGTGCTCCCCCACCCGTCCTGTCTGGTGAGATCGCCGGCTGCAGTCATGGCTACCCCTAGTGTCCTAGCTTTTGACGCTGAGGGTCGTGCCATTGACTTTGAGGTCTGGCTCGACGACCTGCAGCTGTTCTTACAGTGCGATAGGGCAGACGGTCTTTCTCTCTTTGACCTCACCTCTGGCGTCGTCCCTGCCCCTGCTGCTGATGCTGACGCCACTGTTTGCTCACAGTGGGCCACGCGCGATGCTGCTGCACGTCTTGCTGTGCATCGCCACCTGCCTACCGCTGAGCGCGGGCACTTTAGCCAGTACAAGAGTGCCCAGACCTTGTACGACGCTGTAGTTGCGCGCTACTCCTCCCCTGCCACTGCCGCACTGAGCCGCCTCATGCTCCCCTTCCTCTTCCCTGACCTTGCCGCCTTTCCCACTGTCGCTGACCTCATTAAGCACCTCCGCACTAGTGACACTCGCTACCGCGCTGCGCTTCCTGCTGACTTCTGCGCCACGAACCCCCCCCCCATGTACATCACTCTCTACTTTTTAGTCACTCGCCTCCCTGACTCCCTTCGTGTAGTCCGGGACCACTTCCTCGCGGTCTGTCCCACCACCCTCACAGTCGACAGCCTCGAGAAGGCCCTCCTAGCGGCGGAGAAGAGCATAGTCGCTGTAAGAGCCTCTCGAGGTGACCCCCACGCCCCCATCTTTGAGGGGTGTTCTCCTTCCCCTCTCCTGCCCTCTGTCGCCTCTGCTGCTGCGGCCGACCTCGTTGGTCTTGAGTCGGTCGGTGCGGCGTCTGCCCCTAGCGGGAGACGCCGCTCTGGCAAGGGCAAGGGGGGCAAGGGAGCGGGTGGGGCCAGCGGGGGCGGTGAAGGTGGCGGTGGAGGCGGCGGAGGGAGTGGGGGTGGCGGTGGAGGTGGTGGCGGGGGTGGGGGTGCTAGTGGCGGCAGTGGGGGCGGGGGTGGCGGCGGCGGTGGCGGTGGGAGCAGAGGTGGCGGAGGCGGCGGCGGTGGAGGCGGAGGCGGGGGCGGAGGTGGCGGTGGCGGTGGTGGAGGTGGTCGGAGTGGCGCTTCGCAGCGGAGCAGCACTGGGGGTGGTCAGCGCCAGTAGCAGCAGCAGCAGCAGCAGCAGCAGCAGCGTTCTCGCGACCTCCCGACGCCTCAGCAGCTCCGTGAGTGGTACACCCAGCGTCAGCGTGGTGGGGGTTTTGGTCCTTGCACCTACGTCCTTCGCACTGGCGACCGTGCTGGAGAGCAGTGTGGGGGTACCCACACCGCCCAGCGCTGCTTTGGCCGCCTAACGGACGCTTGGCGTCAGCAGTTCCCGGAGGCCGCGGAGATCCCCCGTTGGGGAGAGCTGTCTAGGGCTGGTGTAGCTATCTTTGATCTTGACTTTGATGCTATCCTTGCTGCCATTGATGCTGTGACCATTAGTGATGAGGGTGACTGTTACCGGTGTTTCCCGCCCGACCCGGGCATTGGTACTACTGCTCTAGGTGTCAGTGAGGCTTCTGCTCTGAGTGCCAGTGCGTCTGCGCTCTCAGGTACTGGTGAGGCTGCTCTCTCAGGTACTAGTGAGTCTGCGCTCTCAGGTACTGCGTCGGCCTCGGCCTCCCACACCTTCACTCTTGACTCTGGAGCGTCTCGCTCCTTCTTTCGGGACCGCACCACACTCACGCCGCTCAGTCGGCCGGTTGCGGTGTCCCTGGCTGACCCCTCTGGGGGTCCTGTCCTGTCTCACTTTTCCACAGTCCTCCCATGTCCGGCGGCTCCCTCTGGCACCCTGTCTGGTCTCTACCTCCCCTTGTTCTCTACGAACTTGGTGAGTGGTGCTGACCTACAGGATGCGGGAGTCCACCAGTTCACCCCTGCTCGTCAGCGGGTGACGCACTGCACAGAGGCTCGCACAGGTCGACACCTGGCTACGTTTACACGTCAGCCAGGGTCGAGCCTGTACACACTGACAACTGCTTCTCCTCCAGTTCCTGAGTCTGGTAGGGTCCCTTCGTCAGGTCAGGTGTTTGCTGCAGCGTCCAGGTCTGGTCCAGAGTCTGCCCCCTGTTCTTGTCGCCGCCTGTCTCACGAGACTCTCCTCTGGCACCACCGCCTGGGTCACCGCTCTCTGCTTCGGCTCAGAGGCATGGCCTCCCGTCTTCTTGTGTCTGGTCTCCCCCGGTCCCTCCCTCCCCTTCCTCAGGGCCCTGGCCCTGCCTATGTCCCCTGTGTCGAGGGGCGCCAGCGTGCTGCCCCTCTCTCCTCCCAGTTTCCTCCGACAGAGGCTCCGTTGCAAACGCTTCACATGGACGTGTGGGGCCCTGCCCGCGTCCGTGGACTCGGTCACGAGCGCTACTTCCTGCTGGTGGTTGACGACTACTCGCGTTACACCACAGTCTTCCCCTTGCGCAGCAAGGGTGATGTCACAGAGGTGCTGATCGACTGGATCCGCGCAGCTCGTCTCCAGCTCAGGCAGAGCTTTGGCTCGGACTTTCCTGTGCTGCGTCTGCACTCGGACAGAGGCGGAGAGTTCTCCTCTGGCCTTCTGCGTGCCTACTGTCGTGCGCGAGGCATCCGTCAGACCTTCACGCTTCCGGACTCACCGCAGCAAAATGGGATTGCAGAGCGCCGCATTGGCATGGTCATGGACGTCGCTCGTACGTCTATGATGCATGCGGCTGCCCCCCATTTTCTGTGGCCGTTTGCGGTCAAGTACGCGGCGCATCAGATCAACCTCCACCTCAGGGTCTCCAGGCCGGAGACCTCCCCGGCCCTGCTGTGGACGGGGAAGGTTGGCGATGCGTCGGCGTTCTAGGTCTGGGGATCTCGGGCGTTTGTCCGCGACTTGTCTGCGGACAAGCTGTCCCCTCGCGCTGCTCCCTGCGTCTTCCTGGGGTTCCCCCCCGACGCCCCTGTGTGGCACTTCTACCACCCCACCTCTCGCCGTGTTCTGTCCTCCCAGGACGTCACGTTTGACGAGTCGGTACCCTACTACCGCCTCTTCCCCTACCGCACTCCGCCCCTCCCCCCACCCCCGCTCTTCTTGGTACCAGGTCCCCCCCCGGTAGACCCCCTTCCCCCTCAGGGTCCTGCCCCTTCAGGTGTGTCCCAGGTAGACGCGGTCGAGCCTGTCGAGGTCACTAGTGACTGTGGTGCTGCTGGGGGTGCTGTGCCTGGGGGTGCTGAGCCTAGGGGTGCGGAGCTTGGGGGTGCGGAGTCTGGGGGTGCTGAGCCTGGGGGTGCTGAGCCTGGGGGTGCTGAGCCTGGGGGTGCTGAGCCTGGGGGTGCTGAGCCTAGGGGTGCTGAGACTGGAGGTTCTTCGCCTGGGGGTTCTCCGGGTGCCTCGTCTCGCCGAGAGCCACTCTCCCCACAGGAGCTGCGTGAGTGGTTTTCCCGGCGCTGGAGGCATGCTGCTGGTGCTGGAGGTTCTTCGGCTACTGAGGGTGCTGCTGCCGCGCGTCCCGGAGGTGCTCGTATTAGGAGTACTGGAGCTGCTGGGCTTGCGGGTTCTCCTGGAGCTGGTGCTGCTGAGCGTGTTGGCGCTGAGACTACCGCTGGCGGTCCGACTGGCAGTGCTCCTGGTGCTGGTGGAGGTTCTGGGGCTGCTGGAGGTGCTGCTAGGGGTTCTGGAGCTACTGGAGGTGCTGCTGGAGCGGGTACTCCTGCTGGGGGTACTGGTGCTGTCCCTGCTGTTTCTGGCGTCGCCACGCGGCCCCGACCGTACTTCGTTCCACTCCTGCAGCAGGTTCTTGGTCTTACACCTTCTTCTGGTCCTCCTCCTCCTCCCTTAGAGGGTCCACAGCCTGTCCAGTCACAGTCACAGCTACAGCCTGCCTCCCCTTTGCCTGCTCCTTCTCCCTACACAGGTCCGACTGGAGGTCTTACCGAGCGTCGTGAGCCTGCGTCACGTCCTGCGTCGCCTGTTCGTGCTGAGCGCACTAGTGGTCACGGTTCGCGTCAGCGTCCTCCTCCTGTCCCTGGCACGCACCGGATGTCTCTACGTCCGTCCACTGCTCCTCTGCGTGCCCCTTTGCCTTCTCCTCCTCCTTCCTCTCTTCCTCCTCTTCCCGACCCGGAGTCGGACTCTCTTCGTGCTGCCAGTCCTACTGTCACGCGTCTCCTTGCTACTGCCGTCACTGACCCTTCGTTCGAGTCTTCTGCTGCGTCTGCCCTTGTTACTGAGCTCGTCGACTTTGCTGCGCGCTGTCGTCTCGACTACGCTGCTAGTCTTGTCATTGAGTCTGAGTCTGCCTGTCCTCCGTCCGTTGGGGGTGAGTGTGCCCTTGGCACGGACGTCCTAGAGGACAGGCAGGAGGAGTTTCAGTGTCTGGCCGCCGCTTCACCTCATCTCGCGTCTGTACTGCTCACCCCTGAGGGAGACCCGGATGCACTAGACATCCTGACTCCGCGCTCTTACGCGGAGGCGATAGAGGGTCCTACTCCTCTCAGTGGCAGGCAGCTATGGATGCAGAGATGGCTTCTTGGAAGTCCACAGGCACCTACGTTGACGCTGTCCCCCCTCCTGGGGCGAACATCGTCAGTGGCATGTGGATTTTCAGGGTGAAGCGGCCGCCGGGTTCTCCGCCTGTCTTCAAGGCGCGTTACGTGGCTCGTGGCTTCAGTCAGCGGCAGGGAGTTGACTACTTTTAGACCTTCTCCCCCACCCCGAAGATGACCACTCTTCGGGTACTGCTGCACGTTGCTGCTCACCGTGACTACGAGCTGCACTCTCTCGACTTCAGCACTGCTTTCTTGCAGGGCAGCCTGCACGAGGAGATCTGGCTGCGTCGCCCACCTGGCTTCACTGGGCCTTTCCCTGCTGGTACCCAGTGGAGTCTCCGGCGTCCAGTCTACGGTCTCCGCCAGGCACCGCGTGAGTGGCACGACACATTGAGGACTACGCTGGCGGCACTTGGGTTTGCTCCTTCCACTGCAGACCCGTCGCTGTTTCTGCGCACGTCGGGCATGGGGCTAGTGCTTGGAGGGCGCAGTCCAGTGGTCCTCACTGGGCATGCGGACGCTTCTTTGGCTGACGACCAGGCTACGCAGCGGTCGTCACAGGGTTACACTTTTAGTCTTGGTTCCGGCACTGTTTCGTGGCGAGCTACCCGCTCGTCTTCTGTTCTTGGCTCCAGTTGTGAGGCTGAGATCTACGCCGTGGCTATGGCTGCACAGGAGCTTCGCTGGCTCACCTACCTGCTGACCGACCTTGGAGAGCCGCCTCGTTCTCCTCCGGTCTTGTACGTGGACAACAAGGCCATGCTGGCCTTGTGTCGAGAGCAGCGCCTGGAGCACAGGACAAAGCACATTGCTCTCCGCTACTTTCTTGCGCGTGAGCTGCAGCAGCGTGGACAGTTGCGGCTTGCGTACGTGGCCTCTGAGGCCAACACTGCTGATGTCTTCACCAAGGCACTTGCGCCTTGTGATCATCAGCGCTTCTGCACTCAGTTGGGGCTTGTGCCTGTCTTGCCTCACTTGCTTACTTCTTGACCTTGCTTGTACTGTCACATATATATATACTCTTGCTCTTGCTTGCTTAGCCTTTTGTATACCTATATGTGATCTTGCTTGTGAACTGGCCTCCTGGCCTTTGACCTTGTGCTCGGAATGTGTGGTGACTTTGTGATCCACCCTGAGCTTTGCCTTGCTTTGCTTGACTGGTCTTGTGACCCCTTGTTCTCCCCCACTTTGCCTATGGGGGTGTGTCAGAACATTATAGTTTATTTACTTGTCTAGGCTATAGTGGGGTATCCCATAGGGGGTACAACCCTATTAGGGTTTCCTATTTGTACTCACTTCGTTCATAGTTCATTTCATTCTCGTTCTATTCTTCTCAGGAGCAGCAGCTGCCACTCATCGAATTCGCATACAACAACGCGCCATCTGCCACGACCCAACAGTCGCCGTTTTACCTGAATTACGGACAAGACCCCACAGTACCCATGACCCCAAATCTCAACAACCCCGTTCCACGTGCGCAACAATTTGCCGAGATTTTGCAAGCAGCACGGACCAGGGCAGCAGAAGCAATCAAAAAATCGAACATCATCGCTAAACGCAACGGCGACCGCCACCGCAGACCTGTCACTTATCAGCCCGACGACCTCGTTTTACTCGACACTCAAAACTTCCGCCTGCCCATCACTCCAAAACTCCGCCCCCGATACTGTGGGCCATTTCGAATTAGCCACATGATCACACCTGTCACCGCACACCTCCTCCTCCCTGCTGACTGGTACGTCAGCTCCTCGTTCCACGTCAGCTTGCTTCGCCCTTACGTACCATCCACCGGCCAACTCCCACGACACCGACCATCCAGCATGGCACGACCACCATCCGAACCAATCATCACCCCCGACAAAATCCTGAGTCACAGAGTTCGCGACCCCCGAGGAGCCCGAAAGATCGAGTTCCTGATCCGCTGGAAAGACCGTACACCTACCGAGGACAACTGGGTTCCCCTGGACAGAATAGAAAACCACCCTGTCCTCACCGAATATCTGCGCAGCCGAAACTTCAAAGACGTCCATGCGCTTTCGTAAGAAGGACCTCCTTAGGAGGGGGGGGGGTAGTGTAAGGAAAATCCCTTTTCCTTACTTCGCATCCCTGCTCAACGCGTACATCACTATAGCACCGCAGTTAGCACCGTTACCACTCGCGATCATCGCATCGACAATCATCCCGCCATTTTTTGCACATCGCATCCCGACCTCACGGCTCGGCTGGTAACCCGCGCTCCGGGCCTACGCCTCGACACTTTCCCAACCTCAGTCCCAGGCTCGTCGCGCGACTACCACAGACCATTACCGTTACCACTGTAGTTTCGCTATATATTCTTTGCTCACGCCCTCGCTTATTGTATTCTTGCTTCGATAGTGCAATTCTCGTTCGTTCACTCAATTGCACTCGTAACAAGATTCAACATAAGAGACGATTCATTTAATTGTTTGCACCCTGATTTTTAAGAGCAGTTTCTGTGAAGCACCCTTACTGAAAGAGTAAAAGCTGGGTGTTGGCCTTACACGAAAGAGTACCTCAAATCCTATCCAGAGGTCTGTGTGCGACCATTTGCTCGGCGAAGCAACAACTTCGAGCTTGCAGACGGTTAAATTCGTGCGCCCCAAAAGTGGCGTTCTGCAGGCTGATGCGTTAAATTTGGCGCAAACACGTTCGGCAGGACCTTTCTTATCACCAAACCTTGATAGGCAGATGACAACTTATCAACGAAGATTCTGCGGACCCAGTTTTTGGAAATTTTAACGCCTACAGAACAGCGCCGTTGTGTTGACGTCTAATCAGTACGTGTGTGCAACAGTCTATAACGGATGCATGTACGGGAACGCGACGCGAAGAGTTAGAAAAGGTCGTCATTTGAACGTGCTGAGAAAAATATGTCACGAGCCCCTCTTGACATTTAGCTACAGTAGAAGGAGACGCGGTCCGTTCTTGGGTGAGTTTGCAAAATGCAGGAACGGTTTGGATCTAATCTAACGGAGGCCAAAGTGATCGCGAAGCGTCCTTTCCACTGTAGCGAATGCAGCTACCAAATGCATCCAACTACAATTGTTTCGTGTTGTAGACGAAATGCGACGCGAACTTAGCACAGCATTGCTAATGCCAATTGGCATTTCACCTAATTTTACTTCACACACGCCGCCCTCTCGTCTAGCATCACTCTGCTTAGGCTCAATAACACGATTAGTTACAGGACACACGAGAGAAAACGGCACTTGATTCCAAAGACTGCTAGAAGCAAAGATGGCTTTGGTTCTTGTAAGAGCGCGAGGTGACATGTTCCAGAGTACGATTGATTGCGAGCAGTACTAAACACCGAGATCCATAGCTCTAACTTAAAGGCGCACGAGAGCGCATGATGAATGGAGGGGCGAGAGTAGCGCCCCTGCGTTCTGCGGCACCCGCTGGTGGTAGGTACGATGAAGGTGCAAATGCCAGCGAGTGGGATGTTCTTCGATTTGCCGCGACGGAGAAATGGCAGGCCGCGCTGGCTAGAAGCGACGCAAGGTTTCCCGAGTCACCGTTTCTACTATTTTCCCGCCGCATCGCCACGGATCGCTTCACTAAAATTTGCGATGATGAAGCTCCCCGTGTGGTCGCTGGGACTATCCATAATCGGCTGACCGGTGCCGCAGCGCCCGTAAAGGGCGACTCGCGAAGTCCAGAGGATAGCGAGCGGTATTCCCGATGTGACGACGAATTGACGATGAGCGGTAGTAGCGTGCAGTCCCCTCGCGTAGCGGGGAAGGACGCTCATGATAGCGGAGTTAAAGCCGCGTCGCTGACTTCAAGTACGCTACTAGGTCCTAATGTGCCGCAATTTCCGGTTTTTGCGGACGTTGACGTGACGCAATACGTGCAGCGGCACCGGCAGCGGCGTGTCGAAGCGGGAAATGCGGCTAGTCAGCTCGACTTGCGATCGGGGAGCGCGGGGTTCCGCCGATACCAGCTGACGGGAAACGGGGGAGGCCATTGCGCGCCCACCAATGCAGCTGCTAGAACCTGCGTCGCCGCGGAAGCTGCTGCGCCGACTCCTCCGCTTGTCACCGTTCTGCGCGCAAGCTCAGCCCCTGGCCGCCCTAGTCAGTCCGCTGCTGCTGCTAGTAGTACGTGGGGGACCCGTCGCCTGAGCCCTTCTAGTTCCGCCCTCGCGGAAAGAGCGCAGAGCGAAGGGAATGCTATCGTCACAATAGCCCCTGAAAATGCCAGCAGCTGTGGCAGGCATGAGAGCAGCGGCTCGGTCGGCCATCTACGTCAGGCGGATAACGAGGAGCGAAGCTCTCTGACTACGCGTTCCGGCATTATTCCGTCTCGCCGGCCGCGGGTGGACTCCGCCGCAGCCGTTACTCAGTGCCGGCCAGTCAACCCTGCCGGCCGGCCGGCATCAGTAACCACGTGCGCCACTCGTCAACCACGGTCGGGCAGAACCGTGAGTTGCGCCGGAGGGAGGGCGGTGGGGCTGGTGAGAGCGGCGAAGGCGGAGATGGGGGAGGAGGGGGAAGGAAAGGGGGATGAAGATGATAGTGATGGGGAAGAAGGGGAGGATGGGGACGGGGATGATGATGACGTGGTTCTCGCAATGCCGGTCGGCATAGTTCGCAGAGGGGTAGCTGGAGCAGCGCCGGGTGAATGGGGCACCACGGTGGAGAGAACAGGACTAGTTGCGAGAGAGGCAGCGCACGGTTGGGGGGGAAGGATAGGGGGACCAGGAGGACGAGTGTGCGACGCTGGCGACGAGGATGACGACAATGGCGACGTAATCATATGCAAGCCTGTCGAAGTTAAGGTAACCTGCTTCGCAACCCCCGTTATTAGGAGGAGAGTTTCGAGAAGTGCAGGTGGGAAACTGTCGGCGAGAGGCGCGGCGGGAGGGCGGAAGGATGCTGCGCGCGTGTCTGGGGGTGCACCGCTGAGGCGAATCGCGCGGAGGGGCACGGCAGCCGGAGCAACACTTGGTCCGGGCAGCGAAGGTTCAGAGACCGGGATAGCCAGCACGAATGTGGCGCTGCCCGTGCTGGTACATAAGGGAATGGTGCTGTGCGATGGGGTGCGGTCGAGGTGTGAGACAGGACGGGATGGGGAGACGGAGACGGATGGCCAGGAGGGCAGGGAAGATGAGGCACAGGACGGGAAGGGGATAAGGCGACACGCGCACAAAGTGGCTGCACAGTCGGAGTGCGCTGAGCAGTCAGAGCGGGTAGAAAGGGCAGAGCGGGCAGAAAGAGCAGAGCGGGCAGAGGAGTTGGTACGAGGGAGGGAGGGAGTGGCAGCAGAGGCGCAAGAGAGCAGAGCGGCAGCAGATGAGGCGCAGGGAGAGGATGAAAAGCGATCGGGTGGTGTGAGCGCGCCGAGCCCTGCTGTGAGCGCGCCGAGCCGTGCTGTGAGCGCGCCGAGCCTTGGTGCTGCGACTGTTATAGATGAGGGGAGCATTCGCGAGCAGCTGCAGCTGATTGCAGAGGCCATGGCTAGGCGGGCTGGACGGGAGGAGGCGCGGCGTAGAGAGGAGGGGCGGACTAGAGAGGAGGGGCGGATTAGAGAGGAGGGGCGGACTAGAGAGGAGGGGCGGACTAGAGAGGAGGGGCGGACTAGAGAGGAGGGGCGGATTAGAGAGGAGGGGCGGACTAGAGAGGAGGGGCGGACTAGAGAGGAGGGGCGGACTAGAGAGGAGGGGCGGACTAGAGAGGAGGGGCGGACTAGAGAGGAGGGGCGGATTAGAGAGGAGGGGCGGACTAGAGAGGAGGGGCGGACTAGAGAGGAGGGGCGGACTAGAGAGGAGGGGCGGACTAGAGAGGAGGGGCGGACTAGAGAGGAGGGGCGGACTAGAGAGGAGGGGCGGACTAGAGAGGAGGGGCGGACTAGAGAGGAGGGGCGGACTAGAGAGAAGGGGCGGATTAGAGAGAAGGGGTGGATTAGAGAGGAGGGGCGGAGTAGAGAGGAGGGGCGGAGTAGAGAGGAGGGGCGGAGTAGAGAGGAGGGGCGGAGTAGAGAGGAGGGGCGGGGTAGAGAGGAGGGGCGGAGTAGAGAGGAGGGTGGGATTAAAGAGGAGGTGGGGAGTAGAGAGGAGGGGCGGATTAGAAAGCAGTTGCAGTTGACTAAAGGGGTGGAGGAGGGGGGGAATAGACAGCAGGTTGGACCGCACGGCGTGCAGCCAGACTGTGCTTATCTTGCCACGCCGAGTGCTTATCTCGCCCAGCCGAGCGCTTATCTCAGCGCCATGGATACGCTGAGCTGGCAGGATCTATACGTGCACTGTGACGTGGCAGACCTGTGGCAGGAGGCTCTTGGCAAGAGAGCCTATGGGTTTGGCAATGCCTCTACTGCTGCTTCTGCTGCTAGTGCTGGTACTGCTGCTGCTTCTGCTGCTAGTGCTGGTACTGCTGCTGCTTCTGCTGCTAGTGCTGGTACTGCCGTTGCTTCTGCTGCTAGTGCTGGTACTGCTGCTGCTTCTGCTGCTAGTGCTGGTACTGCTGCTGCTTCTGCTGCTAGTGCTGGTACTGCTGCTGCTTCTGCTGATAGTGCGGGTGCTGCTGCGGGTTCTGTTGCTGCTGGTACTGCTGGGGCTAAATCACTTGCTGTTGCTCCACCACCTACTCTTCCTCCTGCTTTTGCTGCAGCAGGCCTGTCTTTGTCCGCTCCACACCAAGGCTTGCATACCACACTGCGCTACAGCCTTCCTCCAAGGCCCAAACGGCCACTGCAAGCAGCACAGCCTGTGAAAGGAGACGGGCGAGTGAACCCACCAAGGACAATAAGGCAGAAGAAGCCAGTGAGGCCAATAAGGCCAGGGGACGCAATGGGGCCAGCACCGCTTGTGCGACCGTGGAGATCGGACAGGGTTATGAGGTCACCTGAGGGCATTCGGCCTGCTCCAGGGTCTGCTGCCAGGCGAGCCCTCACTGTTGCTGCTGTCACCGGTAGTGATGCTGTCACTGGTGATGCTGTTACCGGCCATGCTGCTGCTGACGGGGATGGTGATGCCAGCAGGGGAAGCAGTGAGGGTGACACCGCTAGTCCGGGACCTGCTGCCAGGCGAGCTCTCGCGGTCACTGCTGTCACTGGCTCCGCTACTGCTGCCAACGGGGCTTCAACCGGTGGTGCTGGTGGTGGTGGTGGTGGTGGTGGTGATGGCAGTAGCGGCCATAGCATCGCCACGCATGGGCGATCTGCTAACAGTCTGAATGCTGCTCTCGCGAGGATGCGGAGCGCTGTCCGAGAGGCAGCTGCTGGGGAGGTTGTAATGCTGCGGGCTGAACGGAAACTTTTGCCTGCTGCCCAAGCCATGACTTCTCTTCCCAAGAGCCAAGCAGGTGGTGGGGGCAACGAGGCCTTCTTACGAGGTGATTCGAACCCGACAATGATCGGTGGATGATCTAATTCCTAATTGTCTAACTACATTCTCTAATTCTAATGCTACCTGTTCTGTGTGTTTTTTTATATTTTTATCTTGTGCTAATCAAAATCATATGCTCTTTTGAATATGTTGTGAAACATCTTGTTACATTGTCGTAAGTTGACATGGAGCAAGCTACAGTACATTGTCAAGTAGCGTAAAACATTTGGTATGAGCTGCTGGCAATGCTTGGACTCACAATCTGCACGCCTCCTCTCCTCTCCACTCCCTCCCACACAAGCACCGCTCACCCAGCCACACTGCTCTGCACCGCATCAACACTCCCCTCTCAGCCACTCTCAACCGCCTCGCATGCAGCAATCGCCACCACTCCCTCCGATGCTCCCCGCCCTCACTCTGCCTCCCCTCCCTCCTCTCTACCTCCTCCCTCTCCCACCCCCAAACCCCCATCGCACTCTCCTTCCTCTCCATCACCTGAGCAGCCCTCAACTCATCCACCACTGTCCACGTGCCATTCGCTGCCGCACCCACCATCCCACGTGCATCGCTCCTTGTCCCACGTCCTTTACCCCCACGGCCTTGAGGCATCTGCTGGTCCAACGCAGCCTTAGCAGCAGTAATCAGTGCTCCCCCATACATGCGGTCACGTGCGTGCAGCACTGTGCTGAGCAGGGCTCGCACAGTCGGCAGCTCAAGTAGCCCACGGGTTGCTGCCACCTCTTCCTCGTTGCTCTCCTCCTCTCCCTCATACTCACCCTCCTCTCCATCTTCCTCTCCTCTCTCCGCTCCATCCTCCTCCTCATCCCCATTCTCTTCCTCCCTCTCCACTCCCACCATCTCTTGCTCCTCCTTGCACTCTGTTCTTGAACCATGCTCCCCACCACCTCTGTCCCTTCTCTCCCTCCCCCCTCTTCTTCTCTTCCTCCCCTTCCTCCCCTCACTTGACTCATCCGAACCCAACTCAGCCTCCCCTTCATCTCCTCTCGCTGACACCTCACCATCACGCATCCTCTCCTCTCCCTCCCTCCTCTTTCTCCCCTCAATACATTTTCCGCTACCACCCTGCCCCTTCTCTTTTCCTCCCACACTCCCTGCCCGCCTATCTATCCCCTCCCCCTCCCCCATCCCCTCCACCCACTCCTCTACCATCCCTGCCAGCTCAGCAGCCCCCATCCCAGCCCAATCCACGTCAGCCTCCCTCTCTGCCACTCTGGCGTCCACCCTGGCAGCTGCCACGTCACCCAGCCCCGCCAACCTCAGCAGCAGCAGCAGCTCCAGCTGCGGCCGCCCGTCAGCAGATATTTCAAAATATCTCTCCCCTTGTGACTCTAACGGGGGGCACCCAGCCCTCTCTAGCAGCTTCACAGCCCACCGCAAGCGCCGGGAGGAGCAAGTGGAAGGGTAGGTAGAATCACGAACAATCTTTGCCGCCCGGGAAGTTCCTGAACCCCTGCGATGTGATTGGCTGGATTCTCGCCCTGTTTTTGCGAAACGCTCTCCTTGGCTTGCTCTCCCTCCTCTACTGCTGGCCTGTGATTGGTCGGGACTGAGCCCCTTTATAATGACATTCAGGTCCACATTAACCAGATCAAATGGGTTGTACTGTAGATTGCATATACACTCCAACTGCTCCTCTTCTCCACCCCATGGTCCACCCTTGCCGAGCCTGACTGGCAGCTCCTCCTCCCCACCCTTAGGTCCGGCGCCGCCGAAGCTGAGAGGCTCGGTGAAGCCGTACCGGAGCAGAAGAGCTGCGGTGCTGAGCTGGCCGTAGGTGTTAAACACCTCGTCCCCAGGTCCCTCCTCCCGCACCATTATCATTTCCAGCTGCTCGCTTGCCTTCTCCCTTTCGCCTTCCTTCTCGAGTGACTGCTCCTCTTCCTCCTCCTCCTCCCCCCTACCTCTAGCCCCGTTCTTCTCCTCGTCTCCACCCTTCCCCCTTTCGCTTTTGCTCCTTTCCTCGCTCACCTCCTCACCATCTTCATCACTCTCTTTGCCACTCTCCTCTGGATCACTCTCCCCATCGTTGATTGTAAAGTGAACTGACTCGCTTGCCGTGCGATGGTTGAACCTGTCAGGGGAACGTGGAGGAAAGAGGGGGGAAACGGGGGGGTGCAGACAGGTGTGGGGAGGGGTGGAATGGTGTATCGTTGCATGGTAGCGCATGGTATGCGCATGGTGCAGTGCATGTGGTATGGTATATGGTGATTCATGGAACAAGGTGCATGGTGCATGTTGCATGGCATATGCTGCTACCAGCAGGTGTATGTCAACGTACAGGTCAGCCAGAGGAACCATGCCGTGCCCGTGCCAGCTGTCAATGGAAAAGGCTCGCGAGGAGATGAGCGACTTGACTGCCAGGTAGGCATCCCATGACAGCTGATCTGGCAGCTGCCGATTAGTCATCTGCTGACCTGGCAGCTGCTGATTGGGCGACGGCAGATTCTCCTCCAATGGCGGCTGCTCGTGTGTGTATCGATCGTTTGAAGCGGTTGGGGATGGTGGGAGGAGGTGGAGGAGGTGGGGTGGCAGGGAGAGGAGGAAGGGCAGAATGTGGCGCTTCCACTCCCCACGCATGCCCACTAGGTCACTGGGGACGGCCTGTGTTGAGGCGGAGAGGGGTGGAGAGAGGCGGGGTGCAGGAGAGGGTGGGGGACGTGAAGCTCTGCTGTTAAGGGAGTGAGAATAGGAGAGGAGGGGAGGCAGAGGGGGAGGGTAAGGGAGGGAAGAGACAGGGGGGATGAATAGAGAGAGAAAAGGATTGAAGCTGCAAGGCAAGGTGGTATTATCACCTACTGGTACCTGCTCGATTTCTGTCCCCTTTAGTAGCTCCTTCGCTTTCCGTTTTCCCCACAGCACCGGCACATCCTCTCTCTCTGGCATCTGTCCGAAATATGCCGCCCATCGGGATCTCGCCCCCAGAGCCCTCTCAAAGAGCACTGCTGCCACCAGTGCTGCACTGTTCAACTCCCCCTGGCCCCCTCCGCCCTCACTCGCGCCCCCTCTTGACTCCTCCCCATCCGCCTCCCCCTCCCCCTGCTCCCCTTCCGCATCCCTGGTCCCCTCGCTCCCCACATCCATGTTTCCTTCCCCTGCGCTCCCCCCGCCCCCACGCCCTTCCGCCTGGCTCTCCGCATCTCCTTGCCTGCCCCTTTCCCCCGCGCTCAGATTCTCACCCCCTGATCCCCCCTCCTCTTCCCCCCCCTCCCCATCCTCATCCGCCTCCCCTTCCCCCTCCTCTGACCCTTCCCCTTCCCCTTCCGCCTCCCCCTCTGCTTGAAAGAACGGGGAGGCGGAGAAGTAGGGCGCAAGCAGGGAGGTGCGTGGAGTCAGGCAGGCGGACTTGGGGATGGTCGCAACGGATGTGCCAAGGGGGAGGGGAGCGCGTGCAAACACCCCCACGGGGAGCGGACCAGGCGGGGGGCAGGCGGAGGGACCGGGGGAGACGGAAGGAGAGGCGCGGGAGTGACGGGCGCGTGCGCCGTGGCGGAGGTTGCGTGGGGGAGGGGGAGGGCAGGTGAGGAGGAAAACGAGCTTTTCTGACCATTGGATCTTGCCCTCGTCGCGCATCCACCGTTCAAACGCGCGGAACGTGCGGCTGGTGGAGGGGGGCGGGCGGGCGGGCGGGCGGGCGGGCAGAGGCAGCAGCAGGATGCAAAATCACTTCATGTTCAGGGGGGACAGGGTTTTGGGGTCTTGAAACGTTCAACTTGAACGTGGCGTTGAACACCAGACGCGTTGGAGGCCAATGCATCGCCGCGCAAGGATAAATCAAGCGCGCCACTCTTGATGCACTCTGCGGTTCCCCCGCTGCTAAATCGCCACTCCGCCCCCACTTTCACATTCGAATGGCTACCGTGGTTTCTTCCTCTACCCTCCTTATCGAGCCTCTCCGCATCTATCGCCCATGTCTGACCTTTCTGCGGCAGGTCGAAACGGCGGACGCACGAAATTTGGCGGAAGCAGCGCAGTTTCCCCCGCGGATGCGCGCTTTCTGCGGCGCGCTTGTGCCGGAGGCGCGCCCCCCGAGAGTGAGTGCCCCCGCGACCATGTGGTGGGCATGGTGGCGAGTGGGCCGAATATTGAACCAAATTTGATGCTGGGTGAAATGTTTGAAAATCGTACGCGTCAGAGTCTGGTTCGCGTCCATTATACCGTGCAGTCAATATAAAATTTGACTACACCTAGCCATTAATGAACCTTCACATTATTGAAGAAGCAAAGCATCAGAATGATGGCACAAGGAGTGCCTATTCAGCTATCCCTATCATCCCTAGCATGGTACCACATCACAGGCCCACTCTAGGTCATATGGGTAGGGACAAACCCCCTAAACATCTACCAACACCCATTCTTTACCCACCAACTCATCTAACCAGCACTATACTGTGTACAATTCAAATGCGACGCACCCATCCCAGCCCAAGCCCAAACCGCAAACCGTTATTCACACGGTAGCATCGATATAGTCACAACACCGCGCCCGGTTGAACTCCAACAAACTGCTATACGTGCGATCCGCCACACCCACAAACAGCGCCTCCGAATCCGGAGAGAACGACACCCCCGCAATCTCCCCAAACAGATCAATCTCCTGGCTCCTCTCATACTCCCCTTTCACGTCATACACATGTACGAAATCCGCCGGTTCAGCTACGGCCAAAAACCGGCCGTCGGATGAGAAACGGACGGACCGGATCGCGCCCATGCGGCCTTTGAGGGTGGCAAGGGAGCGGGAGAGGCAGCGCAGGTCCCAGACTCGGCAGGTGGTGTCCTGATTGCCTGTGGCGAATGTGAGGCCGTTGGGGTGCCAGGCTGATGCAAAGGAGTAGTCCACATGGCCGCTCAGAGGCGCCACCACCTGGGGTTGTGGGTAGTGGGGAGGGGGGAGGATTGTTGGGAGAGCCAAGGTGTGGGAGAGGGAGGGAAGAATTATGGTGAAGCGACTAGGGAGCAACGAAGTTAGAGAATCACGTGAGAATGGAAACAGCCCTCGTAATCATTAGAACATGTACCTCCACCCACCTTATCCCCTCCCGCCCCCTCTGTAAATGTAACGATAAGCGAGAACTTACCCGGCCAGACGTGGCGTCCATGAGAAAGGCGTCTGGATCATCCCCCACCACCACCACCAGCTCGCCAAAATCATGGCTACAGGCCCTGTGCTCGTGTGACTGTCACACCCCCCCTCCCCCCACACCACCCCCTCCAGTGTGAACCTACCCGGCCAGACGTGGCGTCCATGAGAAAGGCGTCTGGATCATCCCCCACCACCACCACCAGCTTGCCGTTCGGCGATACTGACGTGTGCTGGGGGAGGGGAGCAATGGGAGCGAGGGGATCGAGGAAGGAGAGGAGGATGGAATGAGAAAGGGAAGGGAGAGAAAAAAAAATGGCAGAAAACGACAGATGGTCGACGGATGCCGCAAACAAATGAATAGACTGGAGCTTGATAAAGGCATAACATGCACTCCTATCTGGCCAGCGTACATACATTGATGGGCCATGGCAGGTGGTGGCGGGCGATGATGGCAAACGAGTCAGCATCAAACTCCCTCACGAGGCAGTCATTGTTTGACGTTAGCACTCGCACTGCTCCGCTGGTGGGTGGGCGAGGGACAGGGGCACAAGGGGAAGGGGGGTGGGATGGGGGGGTTTAAGAAGTGGAGGATGCGTGTGACTCCGTCACGAGACAGTCGTTGTTGGCGTCAACACTCGCACTGTGCCACTGGTGGGGGTAAAAGGAGGGGGAAGCGAAGAGGGACAGTGGCATGCAAGTAGTTTCTTCGTTGAATCAATGCTTTTGTGGTGTCACTCTTCTCTTATCTCTGGTAATGCGCCCAGCATACGCCACACCGCCCTGTGCCACCCTTATCCCTCAAACCAAGCTCACCCCCAAACCCCACTCTCCACCCCAACCCTTTCCCCACACCCTCCCACCCCTTCCCACCCACAATCCACCCACTCCCACCCCTTCCCCCACCCACTATCCACCCTCTCCCACCCCTTTCCCCACCCTCTTCCCCCACCTGGCGGATTCAAAGATCTCTACTGCATTGGTGATGGCGCTCTCATCGCGTGTTATCCGCCCAGCATACGACACGCCGCCCTCTGCGCCGCTGTCAAGCCGCTTGCACACCATCTCGCCGTTGAAGCCCCCCGCTGCCACCAGCCCGTTGCGCACACACAGCGTGCTCACCTGCATGCACACACCCAGACACACACACAGACACACCCGCAGCCCACGTAATAAAAGAAGTGTTTTGAGACGTCTCAAGCCGCTTGCACACCATCTCGCCGTTGAAGCCCCCCGCTGCCACCAGCCCGTTGCGCACACACAGTGTGCTCACCTGCATGCACACACCCCACGTTGGAGTATTTAAATCGTTTTTTTTTCCCTTTTTTGTTTCTTACTGCATCAGTAAGAACACAACAAAAAGGGCGGCGCAACCAGCCCGTTGCGAAGACACTGTGTTCTTCCTGGCATGCATGCACCCCATGTTGGAGGACTCGAAAAAAAAGAAGGAAAATAAGAAAAAGGGAGGAAAAAAGACAGCATGATTCTGTTGCACACACAGCATGCTCACCTGCACCCGACCCACTGGTTCCCATGTCCCATCATCCGCCATTCCTGCCCCATTCCCCCCTGCCGCCGCCCCTCCCCCTCCATCCCCTCTCCCAGGCCCTGCTGCTCCCCCCGCGCCAGTGGCTACTCCCCCACCTGCTCCGCCCGTCCCCCCTGTCCCCCCGCCCCCATAGAGTCTGGGTCCGCCTGGGCGCAATGTGGCAGTGGTGGCGCGCTGGTGGTACAGCCAGGGGGCGCGCTGTAGCTGGCGGAGGGCGAAGGGGAAGGGAAAGGGGAGGGGAGGGGGAGGGCGAGGGGGGGTTGGGGTTGGGGTGGAAGTGGGTGGGCCCGGGGTGGGGATGGGGAGGAGACAAAGGAGGAGACGGGGGATGGTTAGAGGGGTGAGGGAAAGCTATTGGAAGAAGAGGGAGGGGGGGATGGGTGTGGGTGGGAGGATGACTGCGGCTAAAAATATGACAGCTTCGCGAAGGGCAAGAAAAACGAATGGATGGGACGGGGTCAGGTGTGGTGGGTGGGTGACACAAAACGGTAAGAAGGATGCGCTGCCCATGGGAAACGGGGCACCATGCGTTCACTCAAGTAAAGAGAAGTCGATGCAAGGGGGCATGGGTGCATGCATCAATGTTCTAAAGGCGAAGTATGGATGCATTTGATCGTGTGTGCATGCATGCATGTATGGTCGCTGTACATGGGAGATGGGCACGACGGGTCCGCTGAGGTCAAGGAAGTCAACGGAGCGGCGGGAGAGCGCGGAGTAGTGGCCGATGGTGTGGCCGTGCATCGTGTACACGTCATGCTTCGACGTCGCCCACACTAGGTTGCGCAGCTGGGGGGGGAGGGGGGGAGGGGGGGAGGGGGAGGAAGGGGAGGGGGAAGGCGGGATCGGGGGGGAGGGGAGGAACAGAGGAGGAAGGGGGGGATGAGGAACGAGGTGTGACGTTGCTGTTGATGCATTCGCATCGCATTGTGATGGCAAGCAGCACGCGTCACGAGCAAGTTTCAATGCCGCAAGCCTGGAAGGAGAAGGGCGCACCCGGACGGGCGCACCTGGACGGGCGTATCTGGACGGGCGTACTTGGGCGGGCGTACCTGGACGGGCGCACCTGGACGGGCGTATCTAGACGGGCGCACCTGGACGGCCGTATCTGGACGGGCGCACCTGGGCGGGCGTATCTGGACGGGCGCACCTGGGCGGGCGTATCTGGGGGGGCGTACCTGGAAGTGCACGATGGTGGACTTGACGGCGCGCGTGTTGTAGGCGAAACTGAAGAACTCCGCGTCTGTGCTGACCTGCTTCACTTCCTGCGCGCAGGACGCAGTCACACACGTAGAGTCACACGCGCACAATCACACGCGCACTCACATGCGCACAGTCACACGCACAGAGTCACACACAGCACACAGTTACACATGCCAAGGCAAACGAACGGGATTAGGAATGCACCAATGAATCTGCACCGTTTGACATGCACAGTTGGAAATGCACCACTGGTCAAGTGTGTACGCGCACCTTATCGCCTGCAGCACCCAAAGCCCACCTTGTCAACAGCATCGAACGGGACGTCGAGGTTCTTGTACTGCTGCAGGCGCATGCAGCACGAGCTAAAGCACGTGCGCGCACCTTATCCACAGCGCCCCCAGCGCCCAAACCGCACCTTATCGACAGCATCCAATGGGACGTCGAGGTTCTTGTAGTTCTTGTACTGCTGCAGGCTCACGCAGCTCGAGCTAAAGCACGTGCGCGCACCTTATCCACAGCGCCCCCAGCGCCCAAATCGCACCTTATCGACAGCGTCCAATGGGACGTCGAGGTTCTTGTAGTTCTTGTACTGCTGCAGGCGCATGGCGCGGTACTTTGCGCGCGTGAAGTGCAGCCGCTCCCACGGGATGCCCTGAATGTCCCGCCCCCGCGCCGCCTGTTGTGCGCTCACGTCCGCCGCGCCGTCCAGCTGCCAGAGGGAGGGGAAAGGTGGTGCGGGAGGAGGGGCAGGGGCAGGGGCAGGGGCAGGGGCATAGACAGGTTGGAGAATAATCTCCGTATTCAAAGGGAATATGGCTGGAGCAGGTGAGTAAACTGAGATGGTTTGGAAGAAAAGCGACAGCCATACGCAACAGAGAGGAGGACAGCAGGCAGAGGCACGTGAGACAATGATACATCGCGCAACGGACAATGGACAATGGACGATGGACGGACCATGTCGTTGTCCTCGTCCGAGTCGTCTTCTCCTTGATATTGCCGCGCGTCGGCCGTCCTGTCCCGCCGAGGCGTCGCGTCCCAGTCCCAATCTCCCTGTGAGCCATCTTGACTGTCCGCGTCGCTGCTGTCATCGGTATAGTCGTACGCGTCGCATTCGTCGCTGTCTTCGTCGCACATGTCGTAATCCATGACTGCTTGCTCCGAGTCTAGATACCGCTGCGCTCGAGGCAACAGTCGATTCACGAAAAACATGAGAAATAAACGGGCACGGCATAAACAGTAGATCATAAAAGAAAAAAGGGTATGGAAGCATCTTCGGCAGATCAGTACGAGTTGACGAGACGAAAAGCGAATGGTTTAGCCAACATAATCGTGTAGCTGAACGAAACTGGCTGTGCAAAAGGTTTTGACGATTAAGGAGCTAACCATGTAATCCGCTTCGCCGTCTTCTGTCGACGTCGCCATGCCTTCAGAGTACGAGCTCGACACCACTAGTAGAGAGAACGGGCTACAAAATTCTGTACCGCCTTTGTCAACCGCCCATATTGGCTATTAAAACCAGAAAGCACCCGCAGAAGACTTTGCTACGCGGAAACAATTCGCAGCACGTGACCCTAAGAGTACCGTATTCTGCGCCTGTGGAATAAGGCGCCAATATGATAACACGAAATCAGAATACAACGCGCGTCGCGCTATGCTTCGCAAGATTCTGTGTAACACGAAGGATAGGGAGAACCTAGAACAAGCAGGTGAAAAAAACTTGCGTGCTGGGGGATTTGAGAAGCAAGATTGGAAGGAAGGGTAGGGTGGATGTGAATGTAGGAAGTCAGGGAGGAAGAGACAGGAAAGGAAGACCCTGGGGAATGGACAGGTGACGAAGGTGTTCGGCTGGTTGGGTTTGATGGGGGAATTGGAATTTGCGAATGGCATTTGCGACGGGATAGTGCGTGCGACGCAACAGAACTAGAATCAAGGCTAGCTGTCGCTTTGCCTAATTGCATGCCGTGTGATGAATCTAACGAGCCATGCGAGCGTTCTCGCACAGCAAGTGCTGTGCGGATAGAACGATCGCTTGCTGTGAGCCCTACGATTGGCCTGGGCAAATTTACAAGGGACGGGTGGTTGTGCGATCACCGGACGTATTGTCGCACCGGCTATTTACACCATGGGCGTATCGTCTTGTCGCAAGTGTCCCTTGCGATAACCCTGGGCTTTGGCCATCGGTCGCAAGTGCATGTGTGCATGTGCTACTGGACACGCGGCACGGGTACTTTGACCATTCCAAGGGTTTGCCCAAACACTGTAGCGAGCTTCACAGGAAAAAAATCAGATGTCGCTCAGACCCTGGGTCATGGTCACGGCCCTTTAGACAGTACAGCGAGAAACTCCTGCGACCAGCTGGCGAACCGCTGAGCGGGCTGTTTGTGTAGAGAGGTCCCGCCGAAATGTGCTATTGGTGAGCTACCATTCACTGTTGGCACACATTCGACATAGTGCATTTCGCTCAACCCTGGACATACTTGCTTGCGACCAGTGATCGGCTGCCAGGCGCTTGTGTCACAAGCTGAACAGTTGATTCTCCTTTTTCCAATCATTCCTTCTTGCAAAAGACGTCACGGTAGTAGTATTTTCATACATTCTCAAAATAATCCATACTCTAGTTATGTAGCATATGTTAATACCTTATTAAAAATAAAAAGCTTCTCTCAGATCAGTTCAGATACCAATAGCATCAAGCAACTTCCAGTGGTCCCACACAGGGGTCAGTGTGTTAGCCGCCACCACTCCACTAGCGGCAACCGCAGGCACACCGATTCCTGGGAACGTCGAATCCCCACAGCAAAACAGGCCCGGAAGAGGCGTCGTCGAACCTGGAAACGTCCCCACACCTGCCTTGATTGCCGGCCCATAAGTGCCTCGGTGCCTCCTTAAATACCGCCCATGAGTCAAGGGGGTGCCAACCAATGCCAATTCACATTGATCCCGTGAGAAACCCGGACCAAGTACCCTTTCCACTGCTTTCCACATCACCTCAGCCCTCTCCTCCTTCAGCTTCTTGTATTCAGCCGATCGCCTATCCAGGCCTTGCCACAGGGAAGCGGGCTCGGTCCCCGGAGTGTACGCGTGCAATGAGACGGTGCCAGGTGGCGACAGTGACGCATCGAGAACCGTCGGGATGGAGATGAGGACCACGTTTTGAGGCGCATCGACACCGACCGACCAATCATTGACCACGATGTGATGGATTTCCAGGTCAGCAGGAAGATTCTCCTTCTTGATTCCGAGATGCAGGTGCATGAATGAATCACACTCAGGTGTAGCCTCCCTCTCTTTCCGATACTCCGCAGGTACACTCCCGGGTGGCAGCAGTCGCATGGTATCCCACACCGATGCATTACTCACCACGGCTGTTCGGGCGCGAACAACCTGCCCGGATTTAAGTTTTACGCCGACTGCCCGGCCGCCCTCCACCACTATGCTGTCCACGTGGCAGTTCAGGGAGAGCTGCCCGCCGTGCTTCTCCATCCCCCTTATAAGCGCCTCAATAATCGCCTCTGGGCCGCCGAGAGGGTACTCCATGACGCTCCCTGGCTTGTACCACTCTGCAAACATGTACACCTGGGGGAGAGCAGGGGGGGTAGAAGGCGGCAGAGACAATGTTTTAGGTGGCTTAAGAAGTCATAATTGAGGCGACTAGGGATGAGGGTACTCCATGACGCTCCCAGGCTTGTACCACTCTGCAAACATGTACACCTGGGCGAGGATAGGGGGGGATAGGGAGATACGGGGGTGAGGGTGTTCAGATGTGAAGAGCAGGGTTCCTGAGAGAGGCAAGGAGAGGAAAGGTGAAGATGCCATGGCAGAGAAACTGTGTTAGTGGAGAAACCGCAGGTAAGTACAACACTACAACGGAAGCGGAGGAAAATACGAGAGCAGCTCACCACTTCAGCCGCAATGGTGGCGTCGGCCTTCTGTCCCGACAGCAGGAAGGAGAGCAGGTCGATCCAGTTGCGCACAAAGGGGTGCTTCACTCCCACTGAGTTGGCTAGCGAGGAGAACGGACCCATCAGCTTAGATGCATTGAGCGCAGCTGCAGGAGGAGGCGTGCGGGTGGGGGAGAGGGGTGAGAATAGGGCAAAGGGAGAGGAGGTAGGAGAGGAGAGTCCACGATAGGCAAGAAGGGGTCATCTGCCCACTGCCACTGCATCGGCAGTGGGCCAGGGAAGGCAACGGCCCACGCCACTGCACTGCAGTGCTGCGTTGCTTTGCACCTAATCCACTCGCTGATGCCATTGACTTCTGAGTCGACTCAAAAGTCACCACAACCATTTCCGCCTTCGACTTGGAGGTTACACGAGAGAGAAACACCACAGTTCCCCCATTGCCTCACCTGCAGGCCCAGCGTTGCCGAACGTGCGGAGCAAGCTTGGCCCGTACCTCAGCCCTGCGGTGAGCAGCACAGCAGGGTCAGCACGGAGAGCGGCTGGGGGAAGGGCCATGGAGGGCCCGGCTAGAGGCTCCACCACTGCCTGTGGGGGCGAGGGGAGTGGGAAAAAGGAAAGGGGGGTGGAGGAGATTGGGAAGGGGGAAGGGGGGAAGAGAGTGGGTGGGGTGCTGTGCTGCAAAGAGCGGCTGGGGGAAGGGCCATGGAGGGCCCGGCTAGAGGCTCCACCACTGACTGTCACGTGTTGGGGGAAAGGAGGTGCGCGTGGGTGTGGAGGAGAGAGCGGTGCAGGAGGGAGAGGGGAGGGGTCGGTTTTGGGTGGGGAAGAGGGGCTGGCTAGAAGCTAGAAGCAAGAGGTTTCCGCAATACCTGTGCGGCATGATGAGGAAACAGGTTAAAGCGGATTGGGATGAGACGTCTGGATAGGTTAGGAGGGAAGCAGAAAGCACTGTCGTCAAGGCAATCAGCAAATGGCACGCAGGCGGGTTTAGGAGTTCAGGGAGGCAAAGTGAAACCGATTGGCACGCACGCATGCATGCAGAGAGCAGGGGCGGTGGCCGTCTAGCACCTCACCATGAGCCGTCTAGCACCTCACCATGAGCCGTCTAGCACCTCACCATGAGCCGTCTAGCACCTCACCATGAGCCGTCTAGCACCTCACCATGAGCCGTCTAGCACCTCACCATGAGCCGTCTAGCACCTCACCATGAGCTTGCGCCAGTCGCGCACAGCGTCCTCCCCCACTCGCTGCTGTAAGACCTGCGCGCACAGGGAGGGCGGGAGGGGGAAGGGAGGGGGGGAGGGATGGGGAAGGGATGGGGGACGGGAGGGAGGGAGGGATGGGGAAAGGAACGGAGTTTAAGGCAGGGGCAGAGAAGGGAGCACAGGCGAGCAGTGAGGACCGTTGCAAGCAGGCGCGGTATTACAGAGGCTGAAGAACTGGCGCCTACAAGAAAGTGAAAATTCGTTGTAATCAGTGCCCGCGCACCCTCATACCTACACACCCGCACACCCGCACACCCGCACACCCATACACCTGCACACGGTGCGCACGTGCACATGGCATGAGTTAGAGAAGGAAGGTGCTACTCGTACTACCATACCTCAATGAAGTGAGACGGGCCGATGCGGGAGAGGAAGTCGCCTTCAGGCAGGTAGCACATCCAGCTGTCGTACGCCGCGCACGGCACGGTCTCCCCCAGCGCGTCGAGAACCTGCGCGAGCGGGTTCGCCTGCGGGCCGCGCGACGACAATCCTGAGAACAGCGATGGGCCCGTGTCGAACGAGAAGCCGTTTCGCGTGAATCCGTGCGCCGCGCCGCCCGGGAGGTAGTGGCTTTCGAGCACGAGCGTGTCGCGGCCGTAGCGCGCGAGGAGGCTGCCGCAGCAGAGCCCGCCGATTCCGGAACCGATGACGATGACGTCAGCCTCGGTTTTGCCGCGGAGGCCTCTCCGCTGCTTCATGTCTTCCGCCACTGTGCTCTCGGCCTCCGCTGAATCTGCCGCTGCGCTGCCCGCAGTGACTGCTGCGCGCACGCGGAAAGTCCGTTCATCGTGTGGTTGCACGGAATCGCGGCCGTAAGGTGAAGCGAGTTTCGTCCGATTCCTGATGCCCGGATTCCCGCGCAAGGCGGCAAGATCAGCATGACGACCGAGTAAAGGTTTAAGGAGGGATCGTTTAGACGATTCTCCGTGGAATGAGCTAGCATCGCGCGCAGGGATTACGGACGCTGGCAGCAGTGAGGTAACAGAGGCAGCCATGGTCATGCAATGGAAGATATTCAGGTTCTGGTGATGCAAATGGGACTACGTGGCAATTTGTGGAACTCCTGCCGAAATTGGTGCGGATTCCAGAATGAACTGTAGCTGCTTGTACCGGAGATGTTCAACTCGGACTGGTAATGGAGAAAGAAATTGCTTTCATTTCACTTCGATTTAGAGAATCAATCAATTTTCTGTAGTAGTAAATTTAATATTTTTGCGAGCCACTGTTTGTTTCAATCGGGAAACTCCTCGAAACTAAAATGAACCACTCTTAGATTCATTTTGTTTGCGCCCTTTCCAGGGCGCCGTGTCATGCGGAGAATCGTCGATCGTGATAAAGGAATGCCCATTGCAAAGTCTCACGCGTCGCATTGATGATCGCCGAGTCGTCCTTCGTTTGACGCAGCATCGCACTTCGCTATAGCAGAAAATTGACCAATGTTGACCGCCTCACCGCGACGCGATAACACCGACATTGCATTCGCTTGCCTTGCCTCAACTCTCCTCTTCCCCATCCTCCCCAATTTGAACCTCACCCCACCCCACCCCTGACCCTATTTATTAGTCTGACGTTCGTCGACACTCAGTTTGGCCCACAACCTCCGCGTTCAAACCAGTCCACATCACTGCACCGGGATTTTTTCATCCACGAGATTCCATTCCAACTCAAGAGCACTTGCCACATTTCTACCTCCTCTGCACGGAACGCAAACTGCACGACATGGCGCGCGGAAGAACTCGACTAGCAGCACTAGCCCTGCCGCCTCTCTTACTCCTTCTCCTTATGGCAACCCGCGCAGCAGCAGTCGAGGAGTACGGCGTGTGGGACAGCAAATTCACGGGCACTCTCTCGTTGATCCAAGGCGAGGACGGCGGCTCTTGCGGCTACGGCAAGACTAATGGTGTGCGGCCGTACAATCTCCCCACCATCGCGATTTCCTCCAAGCTCTACGAGAACGGCACCGGATGCGGCGCGTGTTACGCCTTGCAATGCGTCAAGTCGCAGATGTGCCGGCAGGATAAGATCGTCGCCGTGACGGCCACCAGTGAGTGTATCGGGCAGCCGCGATCCGGAATCTGCCGGCCCGGGAAAAAAGGAGTGATAATGTCGCCGTGGGTGTACGATCAGATTGTGAAGAACCGCGTCGCGGGGAACATTCGCGTGCGACTTGCGCGAATCCCGTGCAAACGACAAGGCGGTCTCGTTTTCAAGCCGGTTATGGGGACGGATTACTTTATTGGGGTGCTTATAATGAACGCCGCGGGGCCTGGCGGAATCGCGTCCGTGCACATGAAAGTGGGCGGCGCAGCGTGGCTGCCCATGGCGCGGAATTTCGGCGGAGTTTGGTCAGCGAGCGGAGTGAAAGTCATTGGCGTACCGATCTCGTTTCACGTCGTCAGCGCACTCAAGAAGTTCAGCCTCACGGCGCTGAACATACTGCCTGCCACGTGGCGCGTCAACGGGACGTATGTGTTCCCGAAGAATTTCCCCTTGACGGCCTGAATTTGTCGTCGAAGGGGACTGGCGAGACGCTTGATTAGGTTCAGTGGGAGATCTGTTGCTGGAGATTGTAGGAAAATGACAAACAGAAGTGGTTAGAAAAGGAAACAGAGGGGAGCAGCGCGAGAGGAAATGATGTGGGGATGGGCTGAGGGTTGGCTGTTACAGCTGTGTTTGCTAGTAAGTTACGACATGGGGAAGAGTAATCCCATGCTGGCTATTTGAAGCAGCTATTCGAAGAGATGTTTCCTTAAGGTGGCCTTTATGGATGTCAAATAAATTACCGTATGTCTTTTAACAGGTTTAGGAAAATTGAGATGCTGTCACGCCAGCAGATATTGGAAGGTCCAATCATATGCGAGAACCTGCACAGGAACCCTCCCCAGCCGAACCTTCCTGGAACCTCCAGCAGCACCCATAGCCTGCAAAATGTTATGCTTCTGCCCGTCTTCCATTTGCTCAGCTGCCCACTGCAACAGTCCCACTGCGTTTCTTGCAAAATCCTTGCTGTACCAGTGCAGGAGCTTGGGAAGCAGAATTTTCCCGCTGCCCGGATGCAGCTTTACGTTTGCCTGAATGTATTCCTGGGCAGCTGCTTTCAGTTGCTCGTGAACAGTGTCAGGGTGGTACACTCGGACCTGATTGGTTGATGGGAAAACGATGAAAAACATAATCGGACAGTCGAGGGCAATTTGCACAGGAAACTGGGGATCAGGGTGAGGGTGTGATAGCACAGTGGCAAGTAATGTGCGAATGTGTAAATGCCAGGGCAGAACAGCACATGTAAAAAGGGGAGAGGAGGGAGGGAATTGGAGAGGGGGGGTGAGAGTGAGGAGGGCCAGAGGGAGGCGAGGCTTACAGGGGGAGCGGAGGCGCAGCCACAGCTGAGAGCAAAGGTGACGAGAGGCTCGGGCCGGTCCAGAGCCAGGCTGTAGCGCACGTCCCCCCGCCTGTAGCGCTGCACTGGCAGCAGACCCGCCTGTGAGGAGAATGTTGAGAGGGTGGACGGTGGGGAAAGGGAAGGAGGTGTGACGAGGGTGCAGAGCCAGGCTGTAGCGCCACGCACGTCCCCCCGCCTGTAGCGCTGCACTGGCAGCAGACCCGCCTGAGAGGAGAATGTTGAGAGGGTGGACGGTGGGGAAAGGGAAGGAGGTGTGACGAGGGTGCAGAGCCAGGCTGTAGCGCCACGCACGTCCCCCCGCCTGTAGCGCTGCACTGGCAGCAGACCCGCCTGGAAAAGGGGGAAAAGCAGGGTGGTAGTGGGATACTTTCGTGCGTGTGTGACATTTTTGTGTGGGATTTTGAAGGGAGGGGGAGGAGGGGAGGGGGCAAGGGGGGCAGGGACAGTGATGGGAGCGCAGGCCTGGAAATACATGTGGGTGCAAGGCAGGGGGGAGGGTGAGATGGGAGAATCATGGGACTTACCAGTGCTGGTTGGAAGGACGCAGCTCTTAAAATGCAGTGCTCTATAGCGAGGATGGAGAAGGGCAGGCCAGCAATGATGTAGGCCGACTGCATGCATGGGTGGCGGCAGGGGTGGGTTGAATGGGAGGGGAGGGGGGAAGGGGGGAGGGGGCAGGGTGGGAGAGGGGAAGATGCTGGCGAGTGAACAGGGGGAACAAGCATGGGAAGGCACGACACTGATCTAGGCCGACTGCATGGGTGGAGACAGGGGGGCGTTGTTGGGGGGGGTGGGGGAAGGGGAGATTGAGGAAGGGGGGTGGAGATGGTGAGAGGAGGGCGAGAGCAGGGGAATGAGGAAGATGAGGAATAGGAAGGGTTGATGGCAGAAACAGGTTATGAGGGATGTTGACTGGGAGATTAGGAGTGGGTGGCACCAGCTTAGCAAGGAGTAGGGAAACGTGGGGGCTGTGTCACAGCAGGAAAGAAGGGGAGTGATGTGAGGGGAGGGGAGTGGAGGGGAATAAGGGGTGGGGAGTGAGGGGAGGGAAAAGGGGAGAGGAGAGAGAGGAGGGGAGTGAGAGGGGGGGAGTGAGGGGAGGGGAGAGAGGAGTCAAACCTTGTGCATGAACATGACTCGCTTGTAGTGGCTGCGTGGCTGGCCATACACCAGATACGCCTGGGGGAAAGGGGGGAAAGGGGGGAAAGGGGGGAAAGGAGGGAAAGGGGGGAAAGGGGGGAAAGGGGGGAAAGGGGGGAAAGGGGGGAAAGGGGGGAAAGGAGGGGGAGGAAGAGACAAGCAGCGATGGTGAAGGCGAGGACGTGTGTGCGGGCCAAGGAAGCGAGAGGGTGGACAAGTGAAGGCAAGGCAGTGATGCAGGACGGAAAGGAGGAGGGATGGCGACAGATGCACGTATTGACTCTACAGGTATGCCTGCTCACAGGAATGGCAGTGCGATATGCATGGCAGTGCGATATGCATGGCAGTGCGATATGCATGGCAGCACATGCACATGACCCCCTCTCACATGCACATGACCCCCTCTCACATGCACATGACCCCCTCTCACATGCACAGGACCCCCTCTCACATGCACATGACCCCCTCTCACATGCACATGACCCCCTCTCACATGCACAGGACCCCCTCTCACATGCACCTCTCATCGTATATGCACACATGCAGATCACACCATACTCGTCTCGCATGCATAAGCAGCCCATGCACAAGACCCCGCTCACATGCACAAGACCCCCCTCTAGTGCATAGTGTGCCCCATCTCACATGCACAGCACCATATGCGCACAGTATAACCCATCCTACATGCACACACTATGACCGCCCTCACATGCATGGCTAGTGCATTGTACACGTTGATCCAGAAGGCCAGTCGCTCCGAGTGCCCCAGCTGCTGTGGCTGCATGTCTGCCAGCAGCTCTGATAGGATCCTGAGACAAGGGGTGGGTGGAGAGGGGTTGAGGGAGGTTGAGGGGTGTGCCTCCACGCAGATAAACAATCATAAAGAGACAACTTATCAGCCAATTATGCATGGCACCTGACTCTGTTGCAAGGAACCTGGCTCTGTTGCAAGGCACCTGACTCCGTTGCAAGGCACCTGACTCAATTGCAAGGCACCTGACTCCTCACCTGAACCGTTGGAGCTCATGTCGATGAGCTGTGCCTGCTTCCGATGCCAGATAGTCCAGAACCACTTGCACATCCGTTACAGTCACATTTTCCCCATTTGTTACAGTCACATTTTCCCCATATGTTACAGTCACATCAGCAACCCCAGGTGCTGAGTCACCAGCACACACATCATCTTCAGGCAAATCAGGAGCAACGCCAGCAACAGCCGCTGCTGAGCTTGCAATGCTGCCAGGAAGACTGGCAACAGAGGACCAGGGGGAATTGGTAGCGGCAGCAGAGAGAGTGGAAGTGAGAGAAGCAGCGGACGAGTGTGGGGCAGCAGTGGTGTGTGAGTGAGTGTGAGAGAGGGTGGGGGAGGAGGCGGAGCGGGAGAAGACTCTAGGACCCATCCAGGAGAAGGCGCGTGAGCGTTCAAATGGGGTGCCTGGCTGCTGCTGCTGCTGCTGCCGCTGCGGCTGCTGAGAGGATATGTTGGAAGAAGGCAAGGGAGGGTGAGAGGTGGAGAGAGGGGTGGGAGGGTCAATGTGAGCCAGGGCGGAGTCAGAGTGCCGGGCAGAGACGGATGGCTGAGATGCTCCGGAACCCAGCGATGCGAGCGATGGTGAGGATAGCGAGGAGGTCAGTGTGGGGGATGGGATTCCGTGCAAGGCGGCGGAGGGTGCAGCAGCAGCAGCATCAGTAGCAGAAGCAGCATTAGCATTAGCATCAGCGTTAGCAGCGGCCTTATAGATGGCGAGGATACCACCAACGAGAGCCATTGAGAGCTCTACAGGTCGCCCCTCGTACTCCTCCCTTAGCCGCTCCCTCACTGGCCTCCCACTTGACCCCTCCTGCATGCCAGCCTGCCCTTCCCAAATGGGGCTCGCCCCCTGTGCACTTCCGCTGCCAGAGGCACACGCACTGGGATCACTGGCATAGGCAGCACGTCGAGTGCTGGGAATGTTGGAATCGTTGGGAGCAGCAGCGGCAGCAGATTCAGCAGCACAACCAGCATAAGCAGGAGCCGCTGCAGCAGCAGCAGAAGCAGCAGCAGCAACAGAAGCAGCAGAAGCAGCAGTACCAGCAGTAGCAGCTGCAGCAAGAGGAGTATCCGCTTCTAGAAGCTTATCAGGGTTACCATGTAACCACAAGTTGAATGAGCTCCGATTCTGCACGTCCCTGCCCTCTGCGGCCTCTGCTGAAAGCACCTGAGTTTCCACCTGGAAATCCGCCTGGGAATCTCTGCTGTTCAAGGCAGCGCTGCTGCGCTTACCTGCGACCCACCTCCCACTTGCTCTCCTCCCATCCCCCCTCTCAACCCCTCCTCCCCCCCACAACCCTGCTCCCCTTCCCCCCTCCTCCGACAAACCCTCTTCCCCCTTCTCCCCCTCTCCCATACGCCAACTCCCCCTGCGACCCCCATCTCTCCCCAGTAGGCTGCCCTTCCCCCTCCACTCCTTGCTCCTCCTCTCCTCCCCTCTCCTCTCCCTCTCCTCCTCCCTCCTCTCCCTCTCGTCCCTCCTCTCCTCCGCTCTCACCTCTCGAGCCGCTAGCATCATGCCCTCCCTCTCCTCCCTCTCCCCCTCCCTTGCCCGCTCTCTCAATCCCTTCGCCTCTGCCTTCTGCCTCCTCCTCTCTGTGCGCGCAGCAGAAGCAGCAACAGAGGCAGCAGCAGCAGCAGCACCAGAGGTAGCAGCAGAGGGAGCACTAGCAACAGCACCAGCGCTGCCGACACCAATTGAGTGGTCCTCCTCGGTATTACTTGTGGTTGTGCTGGTGCCGCTGGGTGCAATGCGGTGACTGGTGGTGGTAGGGGGCGTGGGGACAGTGTCTGTGCTGCCACGTGGCAGGTTCTGATTGAGTGGAGAGGAGTAGCCATTCTGTGTGTCAGCAGGGGCGGCAGGAGGAATCGTCTGGGAAGAAGCGATGGGGTGTGTGGCATGCTGCTGCAAGCGAGGCGTGATGTGGAACTGTCACGATGGGGGTATGGGGCATGAGGCATAAGAGTATGGAGGAATATTGGGCATGGGGCATGGGGCATGCGTGCCGCATGGGGGCATGGGGGCATGGGGGCATGGGGGCATGGGGGCATGGGGGCAGGGGGGCATGGGGACAGGGGGAAGGGCATGGAGACCACCATCAAGTCTTCTCCAGCCTTGCCTCTCAACGCCACAAAGGAAACGCAGGACACACACAGCAGGCACCCACTCAGGCGACGTTTGAGACGCTTCCCTCCCAAGTCATCGGTATGCCTCTCGCATCCTCACCTCGTGAAAGCAGCGGTGGCAGAAGAACTCGCCACACGACACACAGAACACAGCCGGCGCACACTCTTGCACTGCCCTGCCAGCTTCCGCCGACCTCTCTCTCCCCTCCAGCTGCCCGCCCTGGTGGTGTGTGCGCGCACAGCAGAGGGGGCAGAGGGGCGGGGGCTGCTCCAAGCAGAGGGAGAGCGGATGACCCAGGTCTGGATGAAGGAGAAAGGGGGGAAAGGGCGGGGAGGAAGGCAGAGGTAGGGATTGCTGGTGCGAGCGAGCAAAGCAGAAGAGCACAGCAGAGAGGAGCACAGCAGAGGGGCACAGCAGAGATTTCTGTCATTTCACCTGGATTCTCGAGAATTCACCTGAAAGCATCTTCTCTCCGAAGAGTTCTTCCTCGGCCGCCCACTGCATCTGCAACCATGCAGAGTACACACAGGGTACAGGGTAGAGCGAGCAAGGGACAAGAAACGAGGCCGTGAGGACACGGACGAGCTAGGTACACAGTATGCTTGTGAGGACACGGACGAGCTAGGTACACAGTATGATCACCATTTAGACAGTAATAGAATCAGCGGGGTTCGCGGAGGGAGGGTTGAGGGGCTGTGGTTATGCTTGTGATGCGATACAAACAGCCTTCTGCTTCAACTCTTCTGCTGCTGTGAAGTTAGATGCACGAGAGTGGGGTATGGCAGGCGCATCTCTCACCTGTGCTTCGTAGAACTCCACTTCATCATCCCACTCCTCATCCTCCTCCTCTGATTCCTCCTCCGTCTCCTCCCCTTCCCCCTCCCCCTCACCTCCCTCACTCTCACTCCCTCTTGTCAGCATCCCATCCCTCCTCCCCTCCCTCCCCTCTTCCACACCGCCCGCTATCAACCCGTCCCTCTTGCTACGACCTTCAGGTTCGGAGGCAGGTTCTGGAACAGGCTCGGCAGCAGGTTCGGGAGGAGGGAGGGGCTTTGGGACGGGGACCTGAGGCTTGTTCTTGTCGGTGATTGCAATGATCTGACGGGGAGGCGGAGAGCAGGGGAGGGGGGTGGGCGAAAGGGAGAGGAGAGGAGAGGAAAAAGGGGCTTTGGGACCTGAACCTGTGGCTTGTTCTTGTCAGTGATTGCAATGCTCTGACGGGGAGACGGAGGGAGGAGGGGGAGGGATAGAGAGGAGGAGGTGAAAAAACGGAAACGATGTTCTAAGAGAAAAAAGGGAAGAAAGTTGGGGGGAAGAAGTGAGCAGGGTACGTACGAAGAGAGAGGGGCAGACAGGGTGAGGAAGAGAGAGGGGCAGACAGGGTGAGGAAGAGAGAGGGGCAGACAGGGTGAGGAGAGGAAGCAAGAGTGTGGGGAAGAGAGAGCGTGTGGGCAGACAGGGTGAGGAAGCAAGAGTGTGGGGAAGAGAGAGCGTGTGGGAGAGGGCTGGGGCGAACCTGTTCGAGCGAGAGCGGGTACCAGTGGTCTAAGAGCCCGAAGCAGTTCTTGTGCGCTAGCAGGAAGATCTGGTGAGGGAAGGGATGCACGGGGGAAAGCGGGGCTTCAGGGGGGCGTGGTGGGGTATGGTATAGCCGGGCATAGCACACTGTGCCGCCACTGCATACCATACCAGTAGTCTACGAGGCCAAAGCAGTTCTGTGCGCTCGCAGGAATATCTGGTGGGAGAAGGGAGATGGGGGGGGGGGGGGGGGGGGGGTGGGGGGTAGGGGGAGGAGGTGACGGGGGGAACGACGTTGCGGATAGGAAGGCTTGAAATGGGCGGTGTTGATTGTCTGGACGTAGATGTGTGATGCGGGTGGCATGGCAAAGCGTTGCATCGCATCACATCAACCATATTGTTGAGAGAACAGGTGGGCTGCGGAGGCCTTACGTCTCAAAAGGCATGGCAAAGCGTTGCATCGCATCACATCAACCATAACCATCCAAGTCCATCCACCTGCTCCCACGCACCTGCCTGAGCGAGTTGATGAGCAGCTTCTCTGCGCTGCTCTGCACGCCTTAATACTCCGCATGTGGTGGCATGAGACAGCAGCACCAGCACACGCATTCCCACACCCTCACCCACACCCATAACCACACCCACCTGCCCCCACGCACCTGCCTGAGCGAGTTGATGAGCAGCCGCTCTGCACTGTTCTGCACACCCCAGTACTCCGCCTGTGATGGCATGAGATGAGGCAGCAACACTGGTCCTCCAATCCACTCACTCCAATCCAGCATCCCCACCCACACCCTCACCGACAACCCACCCACCCACCTGACAGCACAGAGCGGCTGAGCGAGTTGATGAGCAGCCGCTCTGCACTGTTCTGCACACCCCAGTACTCCGCCTGTGATGGCATGACGCAGCACCAACTACCCATGCATTCCCATTCCCACGCCCACTCCCACACTCACATTCCACACCCACGTGCACCCACCCACCTGCCTGAGCGAGTTGATGAGCAGCCGCTCTGCACTGTTCTGCACACCCCAATACTCCGCCTGGGCTCGCACCACCTTGTATGCACACATGAGAGGCCGCTCCCTCTTCTGCCACCCTGGGGTTAGGGGGCCGCGACTGGGGTAGGATGGGGGACAGAGGGTGGGAGATGGGGGGAGAGTGGGCTAGGACGTGGACCACCTTGTACGCACACATCAGGTAGCGCCCCTTCTGCTGCCAACTCGGGGTTAGGGGCCTCGACTGGTGGGGAGGGGCGAGGAGGGAATGGGAGAGCGAGGAAGGGAGGGAGTGAGGGGGGGTGTGAGAGAGCAGGGAACTGGCCAAAACGTCGACAGGCGTTGACTGGCGTTGACTCACCCTGTGAGCTTGGAGCGGACCAGCAGTGGGTCCAGCTCGGACTTGTAGTCCCTTCTGGCCACAGGCTCGCTGCCAGTGTCCATCCAGTCCACCCTCTGAAAATCCCAAGGCGTTGACTGGCGTTGACTCACCCTGTGAGCTTGGAGCGGACCAGCAGTCGGCTTCACTGCCAATGTCCATCCAGTCTACGCGCCGCAGCGCCCCGACAATCCCAAGGTGTTGACTGGCGTTGACTCACCCTGTGAGCTTAGAGCGGACCAATAACGGGTCGAGCTCGGCCTTGTAGTCGCGTTTGGCCACAGGTTCACTGCCAATATCCATCCAGTCCACGCGCCGCAGCGCCAGCTCAGCTGGTGACAATCCCAAGGCGTTGGGGTGCGAGCCGTCGTCCTGCAGGTGAATGGTCTCGATCTCCATGCGCAGCTGGGAAGGGGAGAAAGGGAGTGGGGAAGTGGGGGAAGGGGAGAATCTTTTCAAGAGAGGAGAAAGGAGTGGGGAAGTGGGGGAAGGGGAGAATCTCTTCAAGAGAGGAGAAAGGAGTGGGGAAGTGGGGGAAGGGGAGAATCTTTTCAAGAGAGGAGAAAGGTAGTGGGGAAGGGGGGAAGGGGGAGAATCTTTTCAAGAGAGGAGAAAGGAGTGGGGAAGTGGGGGAAGGGGAGAATCTTTTCAAGAGAGGAGAAAGGAGTGGGGAAGTGGGGGAAGGGGAGAATCTTTTCAAGAGAGGAGAAAGGAGTGGGGAAGTGGGGGAAGGGGAGAATCTTTTCAAGAGAGGAGAAAGGAGTGGGGAAGTGGGGGAAGGGGAGAATCTTTTCAAGAGAGGAGAAAGGAGTGGGGAAGTGGGGGAGCCCGAAGGCGTTGGGGAATGAGCCACCGTCCTGCAATGGTCTCGATCTCCATGCGTGCTGGGGAGAAGGGGTGGGGGGGGAGTGGGGAGGTGGGGTTGGGAAAGAGATGGTGAGGTCGGCGGGTGGTTTTGCTGATGCTGATGCTGATGCTGATGACGATGCTGATGCTGTTGCTGATGCTGATGCTGTTGCTGATGCTGATGCTGTTGCTGATGCTGATGCTGTTGCTGATGCTGATGCTGTTGCTGATGCTGTTGCTGATGCTGATGCTGATGCAATGCTGATGCTGATGCTGATGCTGTTGCTGATGCTGATGCTGATGCTGATGCTAATGCTAATGCTAATGCTAATGCTAATGCAATGCTGATGCTGATGCTGATGCTGATGCAATGCTGATGCTGATGCTGATGCTGATGCTGTTGCTGATGCTGATGCTGATGCTAATGCTAATGCTAATGCTAATGCAATGCTGATGCTGATGCTGATGCTATGCTGATGCTGATGCTGATGCTGTTGCTGATGCTGATGCTGATGCTGATGCTGATGCTGATGCTGATGCTGATGCTGATGCTGATGCTGTTGCTGATGCTGATGCTGATGCTGATGCTGATGCTGATGCTGATGCTGAAGGTGATAGCAATGCGGGCACCCACATTGCTAAAGAAGGGGGTGGTGATGATGGTGATGGTAATGCCAACCTAGTGCATGCATGCGAACCAGTGAGTGCGGGCACGCACCTTGCTAAAGAAGGGGATGGTGATGATGGTGCGGAAGTAGGGGTAGTTGATCCAGCTCTTCTCATCCACCACCAGCGCTGACGGCGGCACCAGCCGGTTCACCTGCATGCATGCATGCACACAGCACGTGCATGGGACCCAGGTGAATGCAATGCAGGAAAAGGGCGCATGCACAGAACGAAGCCTTTGGATTCAAGAGGCCTACACACAATGAAACACGATTCAATCGTTATGCACCAGGTGCACATGCAGAGCAGAGAATTCAGCCAGCAAGTTAAGTATCCAGAAGGAATAAGACACGAGCACCCAGTGTGACAAGGGGGGGTACTCGTTTTCCCTTCTGGTACTCAGTCCAAGCGAGGTGATATTTCAGGTGGCAATGCGCGGCACCCACCCAGTCAGGGAGGCGGTTGCCGAGGCGGAAGAGGCTGTGCGTGAAGAGACCCTCCCCGTGCTGCTCGTGGTAGTAGGGCGTTGATGACAGCAGCTGGGGCGAGAGAGGGGGGAGATGTAGGGAGATGAGGGAGACAGGGAGATAGGAGGGGGGGAGAACAACGATTGTGGGATACTGAGTGCCTCGGGCGTTCCCGTGGTGAATTCAAAGCGAGTGGAGGAGGGTGAGGGGGAGAAAAGAGGTGTGTGTGACAACTGGGAGCATCGCGTGGAGGCGCCATTTGAAAACACACACAGTAGCGGGATGGCACGGCACTCGAGGGCGAGGAGGAGGGGGAGCAGCAGAGAAGGGGGGGCAGGGAGGAGAGGGAGGGCAGGAAGGGCGGACGGGAGGGCACTGACAGTGCCGCCCTGGCCGGGTTCCGTGGCATCCTCGTTAGTGCGCCAGTTGGCGTACCGCTGCCCGCGCTTGAACTCCTCCACTGCGCACCCCCGCACACCCCCGCCCTCCCCCCCGTGCGCGCGCCCCGTGGCGTCCCGTTCCGCCTCGTGCCATGCCATGCCATGCCATGCAATGCCATGCCATGCCATGTCATGCCAGGAACGTGCAAGGAGAAGGTATCGAAATAATCAGCGGGGGGGAGAACCAGCGGAAGGGCATGGGAGTGGTGGACATGGCGGAGCGCGAAGGGATGCGAAGCGGAAAAACATCCAGCTGCTTAATCGGTCAACTCCTAGACGCGCCTCCGCGCCTATCGTTTTCCGCATGTTCACGCGACCTCCATATTTTTCCCGCCGACCCACCCCCGGCCCTTGACACGCACATGTGAAGGGCAGCACGATTCGCAGCTCCGTTAGATGCACCATTGACAAGTGTCAACGCTGTATTGGGCTCGCGATAGTACAAATATTAGCGTGAGCTGCGGCTTGGCAGGCAGCGATTTGACTACTGTGAGCTGTGGAGTGGAACCCGATTCGCGTACTTTCGAACTCAGGGCCCAGTTTCCGTGATCTGCGCCAGCACGTGTGCGTGAGATGATGCCAGCACAGGGCTATAAATGAGACTGGTTACTGGAGGTACTGTACTGTAACCTCCAGCTAGAGATTATTCTGGAGGAGCGCGACGATTCTGAGAATGTTTCCGAACCGCCTGTACCGTTTTCGCGGAACCCCAGAAAGTTTCGTGCAGCTGTGCTGGTGAGCTGGAAAACGTGTACGCCCAAGAATTGGGGAGGCTGGGCCAATCAGGTTACTGATGGAATCTGCCTGGTGAGAAACCTGCCACGTAGAAGTCGCGGTAGTCTCCACGTTTGCTTTCTGTTGTGCTGTAACTGGTTTCAATGCAGGAGATGCTTGATAAACTTTTAGGTTAGAAAAATACCAAATTAGTCTTACTTTATGCGCAGATTCATTCGACAATACTAAATCATATGGATATCAAAGTTGCTTTGAATCTAGAAAGTCGATCAGTTTATCAACAATTGTTGTCATCTATGTGCTATCGCTAAGACGGGCCTTATGCCTTTCGCAGGCGGCTTGAGTTTGCATGCAAGTAAGCTTATGTGTTTCGCTCCATGCATAACTGTTGAAGAAAGAGTTAACTAGAAGCTAGGGTTTTGGAGAGGCTTGGCAAGGAGAATCATGGAGGGAGGAGTTTGGCCAAAAGGAGGACTTTGATATTATTATAATTTTTAAACACACATGTAGTGTTTTTTAAAATTGTGTATTGTGAAAGCGAAGCTGCTTGTACTGCACAATTGGCATCGTCGAAGCGCGCTAAACGCCCCTTCTCCAACTACAAAAACCGTGGGTTGGAGCTCATTTCCCTCCACCCACGTTTCTCAATTTTCAAACGGCTCACTCAACATTTTTCCGCTCGAGTAGTTTTTCCCTCCAAGCTGGCTAGGATTAAATCGCTTCCTAGAGGCGAGTCACCCTCTACTTTACTCAGCCACATTTTCAATTTCAATCGCTCAACGATGGCACCTACGCCGACACTTAACAACGGGAACTCGTCAACCCCCGCTTCCGACTCCGACCGTAACGCCCGCGATTCTGCGGTCGCGAACGCCGTAACAAGCGTCGGGCAGAAGACGAACCTTCCGCCCCGACTGCAGTGGACGTGCTGCTGGGCGGGCTCGAGGTCCACAAAAACGCCGAAACCCAGCAGCACCCTTCGGTCCCTGTGGCGCCAATGGCGCCTGTGGCGCCAGTGGCACCTGTGGCGCAAGTGGCGACGGGGACTGGCGCGGCACACGCGACTGACGCCGAGCACACGCCAGCACCCGCTGCTGGACCGTCGCGTCAGCGTCAGAGGAGGCGGACTGCAGTCTCCTCGTCTGACGCGACCGCCGCCCCTGCGCTGACGCAGGCGTTGACCCCGGACCAGGTCAACGCGCTGCTGTCCCTTCTACAGCAGCAACCCGTCAGCGTTACAGCCGCGGAAACTGCACTACCCGCCGCATCTGCGTCGGCTAAAAAAGAAACTGCAAAAAGGAGAAAGGCACACGGGGAGCACGGACGAACCGGCATGACAACGACGCAAGCGACTGCCGCTCCCCCTGCTCCAGCGGTCGACAACGACACCGACGACTCTGAAGATGAAGCCGGTGAGGCTCCAGTCAACAATGTTAATTTTATTGGCACGGAAAACCTTCCCCCCCTCCCTTCTTCTAATCTTACCTTCTCGGCGACAACCCTTCGTCAATGACTCCGTGCGAGAGCAAGCGGAGCTACTGGAGGACCTGCGGGCGTACCTGCTGCACGCCGAATACAAGGCGCAGCGCGGTGATCCCGGCGGGCGGACTCGAACTCATCTCACACGCTCTCAACCTCATCGCGGGGCGTTTCGAGGTGCTTCAAGTGGAGGACGCCTCCGACTTTCGCACGGCGAAGCGCTTTAAGCTGTACCAGCAGAAGAGCCTGCTGACTTCTCGACCCTTCAAGCAGGCGGTCGCGGACATGGCGGCGATGGACCGTGCGGCAAGCGGATACGCTCGTGTCAACCGCGGCGGAAACAACGGGCCGATGCCGTTCTTACCAAGCGAGGCCCCCCGCCCACGGCCAATTGCCGTGGGTTCCGGGGCTCATGCTTCCGCTGCGGCCAGCCGGGCCACGTGGCAAGTGCCTGCCCTCGGAACGGGCATGGAGGCCAGGGACCCGCTCCGGTGGTGTAGGAGCGGGCCATGAGACTAGGCGCTTGGGCGCTAGGCACGGTGCACTCTGAGTGCGAAAACCGTGGGCAACCCTAGGGGTTTGCGATGGCAAGAGGCCAGCCCTAGTAAAGGGTGGGATAGGCTTGGGCCTAGGATAGGGAAGGGGAACAACAACCCCTCGGTCCCATATGTTGGCCACTTGGTGGCATGCTAGGAAAGCATTGCTATGTGTGTTGGTTGATTTAATAAAAACTACCTTCCTAAAGGCCTATGGTTTTGGCAAAGAGACTATGAAAATCAAGAGGAGGAGCAGAGAGAGAGAGAGGAGAGAGAGAGAGGAGAGACGAGAGAGAGAGAGAGAGAGAGAGAGAGGGAGAGAGAGAGAGAGAGAGAGAAAGAGAGAGAGAGAGAGAAGAGAGAGAGAGAGAGAGAGAGAGAGAGAGGAGAGAGAGAGAGAGAGAGAGAGAGAGAGAGAGAGAGAGAGATAAGAGAGAATGAGAGAAAGCACAATGGACAACGGTGTCCATGGCCCTAGGCATCAGCCCCTACGCACTAAGGGCAGGCACAACCATGTCCTACCAAGTGGACGACGGGGCAAGAAAAAAAAAAAAAAAGGGGGAAACGAGGAGAAGAAGAGACATGCGTTGACATGCGTTAACATTACCGACACATTCGTTGACATTTCATTCAATTGTTCACTCTCTTCACACCTTCGATCAATGGTTGCCCGTACAAGTACATGCACACGCATGCTTTAACGTGGAATACTCAAAGCTTATACCACTTGGCCTCAAATGTACAGGAGCACGACGGTGCGAGGCGGCATGCCACGACGATCCGTACGAATTTGCCGTTACAGACAGAACTATTACACACATGCGCGGTCGTCTTCCGCGCGACATTTGCGTGGTGGAGCTCATGGTGCCCCAGCAGCCTTGTCCTCTCCGTCATCGCCAAGGGTTACTGGTTGCCATGGAGCCACGGCCCACCGCAACATTTCCACGATCGCAATCATGTCGGGCAAACACGCATGCCACGTTCACACGTACCGCCATCCAAGAACTCATAGAGACGGGAGCGGCAATTCCGATGGCCGCAACGGAGCTTACATGCATAAGTCCACTCAACGTGGTCGAGCAAAAAGACAAATGCAGGCTCATTCTTGATCTGAGGAAAGTCAACGCCAACTTGATCATCCCCAAGTTCAAGTACGAAGGGCTCAGCCGCGTCGCCGACCTTGCGCGCGTTGGGGACTGGATGTTCTCCATTGACCTCAAATCTGGTTACCACCACATCGACATCCACCCATCGTGCTGGAAGTTCCTTGGCTTTGAATTTGATAAGCGCACATACGCATTCCGTTCACTACCATTTGGCCTCGCGACAGCTCCATTCGTTTTCACGCAGCTCATCAAGCAACTAGCTCGGCGTTGGCGAGAACAAGGCATCCGAGTCGTACCTTACGTGGACGACATCTTATTTCTCTGCCAGTCGAAAGAGGACGCGCAAGCAACTTGCCAGCGGGTGATATTGGATCTTAAAGAGGCAGGCCTTGTGATAAAACGCGAAGAAATCACAACTGTCACCATCGCAGCGTCTCCGATTCCTGGGCGTAGAACTCGAGACCGATACCGGCCGATTCTCCATCGGTCCGGACCGACGAGCCTCACTACATGCAACCATCCGGAACCTCCTGAGCGCAAGCAAGGCATGCCGACCAGTCCCGGTCCGCCACGTGGCCAGAATCACTGGCATGCTCGCATCGATGGGTGTCGCACTTGGCGCAACAGCTCGCGCATTCAGCCATGCTATGTTACAAGTGATCGACGACGCACCGTCATGGAAAAGCAGCGACGTTATCCCCCCATCTGCAGCAGAAGAGCTCCAATTTTGGCTCGAGGAGTTCGACCGTTTCAACGGCGCACCTTTTCACGTCAAGAACAGCTACAACGCGGTAATCCACGTGGATGCCAGCTCTCATGGTTGGGGCGCCACTCTGACCACATTTCCGGGTGGCATCGAAGAAGCTAGCGCAACCATGTCAGAGCCGCTACGAGGAACGTCCAGCACGCGACGGGAGATCGAAGGCGTCCTTTGGGCGCTACAAACGTATGCGAACAAGATCAAGCAAAAACACGTTCTCGTGCGGGTGGACAACCAGGGCGTATTCTTCATCCTTCGCAAAGGCGGCTCTCACAGCCCCGACCTCACAACGGCATGCAAGAGCATCATCCGAACATGCATGGCGCTTGGCACGCGCGTTGATCATTGAATGGATTCCGCGCGAGCTCAACACACACGCCGACGAGCTTTCAAAAATGGTCGACCACGACGATTACGCGCTGAAAACGTCGTGGTTCCGGATCTTGGAACGTCGTTGGGGTCCTCACTCCATCGACCTTTTCGCAAACTCCCGCAACACCCAACTGCCGCGCTTCTGTTCAAAGATTCCCCACCCGGCAGCCATTGCAGTTGATGCGTTCTCGATCGCGTGGACACCTGAAAACAACTTCGCTTCCCCCCACCTCAACTGGTCCCAGCCGTCCTCCATCACGCACAACGCACCCATGCATCACTCACACTGATAGTTCCGCACTGGCCAGGCGCAAGCTGGTGGCCACTCTTGCAACCCTCCCCACGCACTTGGGCACCACACATCCACGCGCACATCCCTCTGACACACGGAAGCCAATGCCTAGACGTAGGGTCCCA